ATAAAATGGAGTACTACTCAGCCATAAAGAATGAGAAACTAGAGACATTTATAGCTAAATGGATGCATATAGAGGCCATACTCTTTAAGTGAAATAAATAGGACACACATGCATAAATACCAAATAGTTTTTCTACTGTGAGAAACGAAAAGTATAAATAAGGATTAAAATGATTACAATGAATAATTGATAATCTGAAATATTAAAAGGTCCAAAGGTATAGGGGTGGTGGGAGGGGAAGAGGAAAGAAGGAAAAGGAAAAATTATAAGAAAAGAAAAAAAATGGAAACGAAATTTATGTAAATAGGGAAGGGTGGACAGGGAATAGGGAAAAAAATAAGAACCAAGATACATCATGCACAGGTACAAGCACCCAATGATAAATGTAAACGTGTTGTATACCTAAAATGTATCAATAAAAGAAATTTAAAAAGATATAAATGGATAAAGGAGACATTGCTATCAACTTTATATAAATAAAAGGAATATAAAGTAAATACCAAGATCAATTTTATGCCAATGAATCAAGTACCCTACGTGAAACAGACAAATTTCTAGAAAGATACAAAATGCAAAGCTGGCTTCAAAAGAAGCTGCTAATTAAAAAACCTTATATCACACACACACAAGTCAAAGACCAGATGTTTTTACAGGAGAATACTACCAAAAATGAATGCTAATCCTTCACAAACTCTTTCAAAAAATAGAAGAGAATACACTTCCCATCTTATAATATTGGGTCAGCATTACCATGATAGCAAACCCAAGGACAATTAAAGAAAAAAAAAGAACTTATATCCATTATGAGTACAGACACCAATATTTTCGATAAAATACCAGCAAATCAAATCAAGCATGATATAGTTATACATCATGCTTAGAATTTATCCCTGTAATGAAATGTTGAATCTACATGTGAAAATCAGTCAATAAAAATACCATACTGACAGAATGAAAGACAAAAACACAATCACCTCCACTAGATTCAGACAAGGCATATGCACAATCAAACCCTCTTTCATGATAAAAACATTCAACAAACTTAGAATAAAAGGAAACTTCCTCACACTGAGAAAGATCATCCTGAACAAAGCCCACAGCTAACACTAGACTCAATGGTGATGACCAAAAGCTTTCCCCCAGTACCAAAACAGACCAAGATGTGTATTCTTCCCACTCTTTTCAACATTATACTAGAGATTCTAGTAAGGGTAAAAAAGTAAGATAATGAAATAAAAGGCATCCAGATGGAAAGGGAAAAATAAAACTGTTTCTATTCATAGCTGACTTCACTTTCTACATAGAAAGGTAGAAGGAGCTATTAACAACAACTTTTGAAACTAGCACCAAAATTTAGTAAATTTGCAGAATACAAGATCATTCAACAGAAATCATTTGTAAAAACCAAGCAATTCAAAATGACATTAAGAGAAATTTCATTTATATTAGGATCAAAAAGAATAAAATACTTCAGATTAAAGATCAAGACTTGTTCACATGAAAACAAACCACACAGCTTAAATATCGCATGGTTTCTCTTCTAGGAGAAATGCAAATCCAGCACTTGGGACGCTGAGGCAGGAGGATTACCACAGGTTTGAAGGAGCCTGGGCTACATAATGAGTTCAAGGCCAGCCTGAACTACAGAGCAAGACTCCATCTCAAAAAAACAAAACAAAATAAATAAAGCGTACACACACAAAAAAAGAGAAACCGAAAGTATAAATGATTTAAAGAGCAAAATAAAAGATAGATAATAGGAAATAGGGAGAGACCTTTTCCAGATGGAAAAAGAAGCAAGAGATGGAAGCAAGGGGGAGGGAAGAGAACATAAAAAGAATTAAGATGTGTTATATACATGTACCAACGCCTCATGATGAATATCATCTTGTACTGAAAACACATACTAACAAAAAAACCCCAACAAAATGTCACTTGAAACAAATTAAAGACCTAATCAAATAAACAGACATCAGATGTTCATGGATTAGAGAACTCACATGTTAAGATGGCAATACTCTTCCAAATGGATCTAGATATCAATCCCTATTAAATACAAGGTGGTTTTCTTGCTCTTTTTTATTTTTAGAAATCGACAGCTCAAGTTTCATACAGAAATACTAGGGACCCAGAAAAGCCAACCAAGTTTGAAAAATTTTGAGAAAGAATATATAGAACCCACAGTTCTTAATCAAAACTTCTGTTACTGAAGGAAAACAGAATAGTGTTACCCATCTTATGATGACAAAATCTGACATACCTCTAGATCCAACTATGTGGCCACTGCTGTCTGTGTTAATCTCCCCTGCTGGTTCAGAAGGGTTAAATGTCTGCCTTTGACAGGAAAATGCTAAAAAAAGAAAGGTAAAATTCTGTTATACTTTTTTTTTTTTTTTTTTTCCAGAACCCGGGGATCAAACTCAGGAGTTTGCGCTTGCCAGGCAGGCACTGGCGCCACTGAGGTAAACCTCGGGCTGTTATACTTTTAATAGCATGTTGCTGGGCATGGTGGTGCATGCCTATAATCCCAGCACTTGGGGAGGCTGAGGCAGGAGGAGTGATGTGAGTTTGAGGCCAGCCTGGGCTACACAGTGATTTCAAGGCCAGCCTGAACTACACAGCAAGACCCTGACTCAAAGAGAGAAAAATAAAGTATGTATAAGTACAGCATGTTATCAAGTTATATTATTATTGAGGTGAATTTCAACTTCTTGCATAATGAAGAAAAGTACAACATTAACACAGGTAAATATGCGGGGAGGAAAAAAATTTTAAATATTCAGCAAGTCTTTAAAAGACAATTATGTGCTGGGGATTTAGCTCAGTGATCCCAATGCCTGCCTCACAAGCAAAAAGTCCTGACTTTGATCCCCAGTATGGAGAAGAAAAAAAACAAAGAAAAAGAAAAAAGAATTTATTAAAAAAGAAAAAGACAAGCAATATTTGAAAATATACTCGTTCATTACCTGATGAATTTCTTAATAAGGTACCAGGATGAATCCCTGTATCTGAAACTGTAGGACCTAAAAATAAGCATAGATAAGAGGAAAAAAGTATCATGAACCATGAATAAATATCACAGAGGCATTCAAATCAAGGTAATTAGGACTAATGACAAAGCAGATTCTAAATTGCTGACAATGGATCATGTCCTCATCTACACTCTCAGAGGAGATCAGGCCCAATACAGCCAACACCCAACAGTGCAAACCGCAAAAGCGGTCAACGTCACCTCTAACACATGAACATGTGACACTCCTTAAAAAGGCCTTTCAAATGGATCAGGAGTCCCTATTTTAAGTCATTCAAAGTCAGGGGTATATGCCAACACTCAGGAGGCTGAGCTAGGAGGACCATGAGTTAGAGGCCAGCCCAGACTAGAGTGAAACCCTGCCTCAAAAAAACAAAAACATTAGATGTGTACCTCAGTGGCAGAGCACATGCTTGGCATGTACAAGGCCCTGGATTTGATTCTTATCACCACAAAAGATTGTGAAAATGACTTATGAAGATAAAAGTTAACCATACCAAAAGCTGGCCATAGTAGTGTAAGCCTATAACCTCAATCACAAATTTGACCCAGTCTTGGCAAATTAGCAACTTAGCCCATGCCTCAAAATGAGTAAAATAACAAGGGGTGGGAATGTAGCTCAGAGCAAAGACCCCGGGGTCAACCCCAATACTGCAAAAACTCATCATCGCCTTCATATCATACCCATTATTTCTGCCACAGCAAAGAAACTAAAGAATGATCCCTTACAGTTTACATCCAGACTTTTTTTGGAGGGTTGGAAACCAAACCCAGGGCCTGTAAATGCCAGGCAAGTACTGCACTGTCTTCTGTCACTGAACTACACTCTCAGCCTCTCCTACTTACTGTTAATGAGCAGCTCCAAGATACTCTCTGATGTGTTGTGAACAGATAGCTCCAGACAATGTGCAAAGCTGGACAGCGCCTTGCTGCGCACAGTAGGTGCCTTGTCCAAACAACGGTCAAACATAATCTCCTGCACCAAGAATTTGTGCCTTAGGAACTTCTGGTGCTCCAAGGAAAGGGTGCCATCCACCACTCTTTCAGGCAGCTCTAAGAGAGCTAAGACAACATCAAGAGTAAAAACCCGGTGGGCAATCTGGCAAAGCAAATCATAAAAATTACCATGAGATAGGAACAAGAACCAAAGAAACTCTTTTGCCTCAGATCTGACTGTTTATAATATACCTACCCTGACAGAGCCAGGACAAGGGATTTTATGCAGATAAATTCCTACCTTAGAACTTCGTGAGTATTTGTAAAGCCAGGAGATGAATGTAGCATATTCCCCACAAGGAAGTTTACTCAGCAGGTGCACAAGGGACTGAGCTGCAGAGGTCCGATACTCTGATTTATCTGTCACCTGAAACACAAAATTCAGAAAGCTGTTTACTCTTTAACCATGTGTCTGACAACTGAAACCCACTTTGTGATGTATGTTGAAAATTAGTGAGTGTAACCAGTTTAATGATCTTTAAATATTATGTAAATGACTAAGAAATTTTAGGCTTCAGACCTCTTTGAAAACTGAAGTATAAACCCTCTCCAGAAAAATTACATATACAGGGGCAATCCACGTTCTGGGGCCCCTTCTGTCTCTTAGACAGAAGCTATCTTTCTTTCAAAAAATTCTTCCTACTCTCAAAAAAAAAAAAGAAACAAAATTACACACAAATTTATCACACAATTTCAGAGTTTATGGCTCTCTAGAATCTGTAGGGTTTAAATTAAGAATCATTTGTCTAAGCAGTTATATAAATTTAGAAGATATTCATGAAAATTTGAACATTGGCTGAATTACTATTATTTAAGGCATGTTAATATTTTGTAGTTACATTTTTAAAGAGTTCTTACCCTTAAGAGATATATACTGAAATATTATGAATGAAAGGATATAATGGAATCTACTTGAAGAAACAACCCAGTGTGCACATGTGTGAGGAAGGGGTGTAGAAATGACACAAAATTAATGAAGATGGGAGATGTGGGTATATGATGGTGATTCAGCACCTAATTCTCCTTGTTTCTGTTTAATATTTTCCAAAATAAAGTTTATTTTTTAAAAGAATACTTTATTTAGAACATTTAGTATTAAATAAAACATTTTAGTAATTATAGACACATTACCAATAACAAATATACATTTTTCTTCATGTATGTTACATACTAGCATATTATCATTATCATGACTAAAGCAAATGGTACCTTGGCGCAGATGTGCTGCAGTAGAATACGAAGAACTGGAAATATATTCTCTTTTAGTTCATCCACGAGTGAGCTATTTAAAAGAAAAACGCACAGCTAGTGTTTATAATATACCTATCATTATGAAAAAAGAGTAATTTCCCCTGACTCTGTCCTCAAAATCTACCACTCCCGTGATTTAAAAATTCCAAATATTAAAATAAATCTACCCACATATTGTAAGTTGTTTCCATAAAATAAAGAGCACAGGCATAAGGTATTAGAGTAGAAAACTGTTAAGTATTTCCTATGTATAGTTTTAGAGAGCTGTTGTTGAAAAGCCAAGTCAGGAAAAAACAAAAATGCAATCTTCATACAGCTATTTTGACTAGTTGTTAAATTTCATTTTAATACATAAAATATAGCTAGGCATAGCGGCACATGCCCAGGAAGTACTCCAGGAAGGCTAAGGCAAGAGGAGTTCAAGTTTGAGCCCAGCCTGGACAACTTACACTATTTTAAAAGGGGGGTGGGGGGAGCTTGAGATGTAGCTTATTATGAAGGAGTAACCTCCAAAAGCAAACCACACCAAAACAAACCAAAACTCACTACTAAGACACACTACCACCTTGTGGCAGGACAGAGAAATGCTGTTACTTTAATGCATTTGTAACATTATGTCTCCAAGCTCCAAGAATTTATTATAATGTCCTTATTTGATCCATTTTTAGCATTAAATTTATTTGTATCATTACAGGAATGTTATTGCAATGGGCAACGTGATGAACTCTCATAGAGGAACCAAAGTGACCATGTTTCCACCTAAAGAATTTAGTTGTTTAATGTTTAAAAAAACCCTTAGCAGCCAAGCTTGGTGGCACATGCCTGTAATCCCAGCACTCAGGAGGCTGAGGCAGGAGGATTGTCCTGAGTTCGAGACTAGCCTGGGTTACATAGTGGGTTCAAGGCCAGCCTGACCCTGTCTCAAAAAACAAAAAAAACCCAAAAAAACCAAACAAAAACAAAAAAACAACCACCCAACAGCAACAACAAAAAAACCTTAGCGAGACATGATGTGCTCAGTGATGAGAAGACATCATCACCCCATGTTTCCAGCTCTACACAGTGCATAGCTGCAGGCAAATACACAGTCCCAGGTGTGTACTCACCACTCTTTTCTGCACCTCCACAGTGCATACCCAATATTCAGTGAGGGAGGGAAAGGATAGCTGAGGACACAGCAAATGTATCTTTCCCAATAAAGCTAAGACAGGACTTTTAAAGCGGAGCTGAGTGACTCATGGAGAAAAAGTAGTCTATCAATTATTGCTAAAGAAGCAAAAGAAATTTACTTTTTTCCTCCAGGAAGGTCTTTCTATTGGGGGAAAGAAGATAGAAAAGTGAGAAGAAATTAGGAAAAAATGGCAAGGAACAAAAGCAAAGAGATGTGCATAAAGAAAAATAAAACAGGAAGAGGAAGCAGACTTCTTTCTCTGTTGGAGAGGTGAACACCTAAGCCAGTGATGGTGAACTTATGGCACACAGGTTACTGTGATTTTAAGACAAAAGATGTTAATGTAGTTGTTTGTTCTAAACCAACATCTCAGTATTCAGGTTTAATTGCAGTGTTGGCACTCTGTGATGAAGATGTGGGTTTTGGGGTATAGTTTGGCATTTGGTCTGTAAAAGGTTCGCCATCACTAACCTACACAGACAGTGGTAAGAAAAAGGAGTCAACTGTCTTTCTTAGAGGCTGACCCCACAGGCTGCATGGGATCAAGTTAGAGGCTGGCTCTGGCCTAAGAACTGCAGGTTTTCTATTTTTTTAACAATGCCTTGACACAGGGGCTACCAAAAATTATTCAGACCACAAGAACCAGATTATTTTGACACGCAACACTGCTATTCAGCCAGATATTCCGACTCCATAAGCATTGGAAATCTTGGTTAGTGTGGGCCCCAGAAGACTGAGGCAAAGATAAAGAGAGTAAACATCTGTGTGCCTCACCTGATAAACTGGACTGCCTGGTTTTTACGACTGATGACTTGTGAAGTAATAGTAAGAGGGGTGTGAAGGGATCCTTCACCCACTTCTAACATCAATATTACATTTAGCATTTGATGGAAAATACAACCAATAACCTAGAAGAGAAAAGAAAATTCAATTTATGCACGACAGAAAATACAAAGATCTCAAAGACAGTGACAATAATAAGTCACTTTAAGCCATCTGAAGATAGGCAAAGTTAACAGAATTTCTGGCTGAAAACTAGGAATGTGTTACTGGGATAATTAGAACCCAATAAATGCACAATGCATGAAAGAACTGCTTATAGAATACCATCTAGTCTCTCTCCCCATTCACTGCATATAACCTAGAATTGAGGGCAAGTAGAGAACTGCTACTTATAAATAGTAAAGAATGCTACTAATATTCTAAAAAGTATTCTAGTACTACTAGTACACTAGTAAGTACTAGTATTAGTAAGCACTAGTATTCTAAAAAGGGAGAAGAATGATATCTTACACTTATATTTTAGTTGACGTTTACAAAGCACTTTGCAATATGTTAGCTTATATAATTTATTTAGCTGGCTAATTTATTCATCTGACAAAACATCTACTACAACCAAACATGTAGCAGGTAGTACATTAAGTTACTTCTTTCATTAGCCAGACTTCAATATATTTAACTTTTAAGCCTTTCAACAACTCCATGAGGCAAGCAGGATAATGTACAATTTCCAATTAATAGATAACAAAAGAAACTCCAAAGGTGAGTTGGTTGTCCAAAGTCAAGTAAAGATCTGTTAAAACCAAAGCTGCCTAACTCTCCTAATTAAAAGGATAGGAAATTTTCCTTTCCATTTTAGCTTTTCAAATGTTAAAAAGGACATGATTAATGATTAAAAAGGACATTAATATTTCTGTGGATTATATTTTCTCCATATTTTAAGCACACAGAAATTATATATAATAAATTATAAAATATCGAACATTTTCTATGCAAGCATTTCACTCAGCATTTGGCATGTTTAACTTCATTTTTTTTTTGGTACCGGGGATCGAACTCAGGACCTTGCGCTTTCGAGGCAGGCAGCGGAACCACTGAGTTCAACCCCTGGCCCATGTTTAACTTCATTTAACCATTTACCAGTCCAATTTTTTAAACACAAGATGACCAAAAATTGCATGTTTTTTCATTAATTCTTATAAGATAATATAACATGAAATATAAAAATGACAATTTTATCAAATTTATTCAATAATTTTTCTGTGAATGGCATATCATAAAACATTTAACACACAAAGCAACATTACAAACTGGACAGCAGTATATAGTCTCTTTCTGAATTCTTTTTGTATTACTGTCTTTTTTTTTTTTGAGACAGGATCTCACTATGTAGTTCAGGCTGGCCTTGAACTCAGCCGATCCTCCTCAGCCTCCCCAGCCTCAGCCTCCTGAGTGCTGGGATTACAGGTGTGTGCCACCATGCCAGGCTGTCTATCTTTGAACAACATACTTTACACCATTGTGTTGGCCTTTCCTTTTTTTCTGTGGGTTGTATAATTTCTATAAATTGTCTACCCACTAAACAATGAAGACATCAATGATGGACGTCTTGGTTGGCATTTCTCTATCCCATATTTTTTAATTATTTGGTCTTTTAGACCTAAATTGTAAATGACTTTTTGAACCCCCTTGTTTTGAATAAATAATAAGTTCCATATTGTTTGGCCCAAAAAGTGCATAAATATTTTATGATATTTGATATTTTTTCCTCACTTTTTGATTACAGGATAGCTTGTTAGATGCTGGTCAACTCTGTCAACACCTCCCATAGATTTATTATAATCACTGACCAGTACTGGAATTTTTAAAGTTTTGTTTCTTCTTTCAAGTTTTATATTTTTGTATTATAAATAGTTGACAATAAGGAGATGTCTTTTCTGTCTTTCCATTTCATGACACAGACTTTTCCTCTCTGATATGCTAACACTTCTCCCTTTTTCAGCTTTTTTTTTTTTTGCAGATATTTGACCTTTCCCTCCTATTCAGTCTCAGCGTCTCAAACGTGTTCATTTTGTGCTGTAAAGGAGTATCACTGATTTCAGGAGAAACAGAAAAACTGCATCTAATGTTTTTATGGTAAGAGTTTTTATACACTGTAGCACAAAATTATAGGTTGTTTTTCACAAGTAAACATGAATTAGTAAAAGAAAATAACCAGAACTTATTATCAGATTTCACTAGAAACAGACATCAAAGGTGAATACAACATTCTAAACAAAAAGTATGTAAAAAAATAGCCAACATAAAACAAATAAACAGACGTACAAGCATTATGTCATGCAAACAAGAACCCCTGGTTGAAATGACATGTGCACGTGGCCCTCAGGAGTTCATCCATACTCCCGAGGGTCACACTGCCCAGGTTGCTGTGGGGTGAACTGTTAAGTGCCATAACTAAGGCTCTCACAAAGTTGAATACCACACATGGAAACAGAGCTAGTGAACAGTGGAGTCGTAATGTGAGTACAGCTGTGCAGGGCCTCGAGCATGCCCAAACCTTCCTTTAATCCCCATATGCTTCTACAAATTAGCTGCTGTAGATACCAGAAGCCACAGGACCTTGACCGACTATTTTCTCCAAAAATCTTGTTATTTTTTAAACATATCTAAGTTTAGAAATACTGTGATGCATAAATTCTCTAGCCTCGATGTTTATTGTAGTAATAATATTAAAGTAATTTAGAGGGCAACATCTGATATCAATGCTAACTAGGAATAAAACCCCATATAATTTCTGTAGAATTATCAGCTAACCTAATACAAATACAAATAGATATAATGAAGCACATATGAACTCCCAAGGGGAAACTTGAAACTCCTGTGACTCTCTATTCTTTTTTAGAATAATTTCATGCCTATTTCTGTAATAGTAACTTCAGCAGCTTATTTGTTCTTCCTACCTAATTCATACTGAAACCATTTTTTTTTGGTCTGAAATCTAACCACGAGCACATTGGATGTAAATCTGGTAACAAAGACTGGACAGTGAATAGAAATAGTGACACTGATTTTTATTATACAAATAGTAGAAGGTCCTAAAAATGTCAGTAAAATAAAATAACATGACAGTAGTTGCCATGGATAGTTATCCACGGATAACTCAAAGCGTGGCTGGCACTAGCGCAGAAAGGTTAACTAAAATGACTAGTAAAAGTAGAACAACTATACTGCAACAAAAGTTGTGTGAACACGGTCTTGTGAAATATCTTACGGTACTGTACTCACACTTCTCATCTGCGGTGGACTGCAGGGAACTGAAATGCTGGAAAGTGAAACTGCTGACAAAGAGGAATTATTAAATGCTTTTATATTTTTACATCTTTCTACTGTGTGGTCTCCCTGGTAACTAAATTAGATCCTCCTCACCCTTACCTTATCTCCTTCTCCATGAACTGGGGAACACAGCAAATATAATCCATGGTAGGCGAGTTCTGGTATGTATTTTGCTTGGGTAAGGTTTCTAAAGAAAAAAGCCAAAACACTTGTTAACAGACATGATTTTACTAGGAATATTTCTTAACTCTCTAAGCCTTATTTACTTGTTATTGTTGTTACTATTTTTGAGATGCAGTCTCACTGGTGCCCAATCTGACTTCAAACTTCTAGACTCAAGTGATCCTCCTGCCCTACCCTTCCAAGTAGCTGGGACTATAGGCATGTGCCACCTTAGAGGGCTTCTAAGCCAAGCACTGTTTAAGGGAGTAAATTCTACCCATATGCCAATTAGAATAAAATGACATATTTCTATTGAGGCAAAGAATACTATACTATATTTATATTGTAACTGTGGAAGATTTAATGGCTCACCTGGCTTGTGTAACATGAAATTCATGAAGAACTGGCTCGAAACTAGTTAATGCAACAAAGACCTGGAAAACAGATATCAAAGAAAAGTCTGATTTTTCCTATTTGGTAAGAATTAGCCATTGTCTATGCCCTTTGAAGTTGTCCCAAGTACACTTACCTCAATACAAGTCTGAACACACTGTGGCTTTTCTTTGAGGGAAAATCTGGGCAGAAGCCTTAAAAAATTCTTCAAAAGGTCAAAGACAGCATTTCGGATTTGAGAAAGATCTCGGGCAGAAAAATAAATATTCTCTTCATCACCTTCTTCTTCTTCTATAATTTCAACCATCTGGATTATGGAAAGTCCAGGTCATATAGGCGACCACATAATAATGCCAAGGTTTATTTCACTCAAACCAAGCCCAGTTAAACTACAGGCAGCAGCTGAATCGCTGAGGTGATACACCCTTGACCAGGTCCCTTCATTGTAGATCCATGGCCACAAAGGTAAAGGACTCGACTAGATGATCGCTATAGCAGTTTCTACCTCTGTATTTTTTTGTTAGTGAGAATTCCTGGATTTCTCACAAGTCTGATGTCAGTAAACCTCTACTGTATAATACTGTCATGCAAGAAATGTAGAATTCATGCTATTCTATTACATTCTTAGGGACATGACCTTCAGGATACTTCAACTGCCCTAATGACAATCATATGGCAAATATACCAGTTAGCAAGCTGCCAAGCATACCTGGGAACAAGTTTAGCAAGAAGGGTGGAAAGGCTGCAATGCAGTACCACGTCCCTGGGTAGCATACAAAGCCCAAAGGTAACTTCCCATCACAGTGGATGGCAGATGAGAGTTTAGGACCATTTAGTTATAATCACAGGGCTCAAACTTTATCCTTAGAAGAAATTAAAACTCTGTGGTGGTGTAGATATGTTTTATTATTCCCCTCCTTCTCACCTCAGAATCCTCTTTCCTGGGCGGCTTTCCTCTCTTTCTGTTGCCCCTTGAATTAACCTGAGAGCTCCTAGGCTGTTCTTTCTTTCTTTTCCTATTCAATTTAGATTCCTGAGGCCAGCTCTTCTTTAGAATCTGTATGCACTTGTCAAACATCACTGGGTGGAACACTTGATTGGCTACACTGCCTAGTAATAAAAAACAAAGAATAAGCAAATTAAATTGTCTTCAAATATGCATATTAACAAACAGATAAAAACTTGAAAACAAAGCTAAAGACAAGATTTTCACTAATTTTGAATAATAATGATCTTTAATAAAAACACCCTTTTCAATTTCAGCCTTAAGGGTGAACAATAGTGTTAAATTAAATATAAATAGTAAGAGTTGGGTGTAGCGCTGCACACCTGCAATCCCAGCATTCTGGGAGGCTGAGGCAGGAGGACTCCAAGTTCTAGCTCAGCCCTGGGCAATTTAGCAACTTAGCAAGACCCTGTCTCAACATTTAAAAAAGGGATGGGGACTTATCTCAGAGCAGAGGCCCTGGGTTAAATCTCCAGTACTGCACAGATTAAATAAATAAATAAACAAACAGATTTCCGCATGTGGCCACAATAGAGTAACTGGTTTTGTACTTGTCTTCCTACTGGTAAGACACTAGAAAACTTTTAAGGTACTAAGAAACAAAAATTTTAAGGTACTAAGTAACAGGCAGTATAAGAAAAGCAAGCCCTGAAAAAAAGAAAACAATAAATCTACAATTGCCTGTTTTATACCTAAAGGCAATTTCTGGACAGCAACAGAGAAATGGTGAATCGAAGCAGATTATAAAGGTCTTGCTAAATTGAGAAATCTGAGTCAGGAAGTCAGGAGTAGTTGGAATATATGCAGCACTGAATATATGTGGTACTGAAGGAACTGGAGATACAAAAGAGCTCTAGAAATCTGCACAGAACTGAATATTAGGTATGCACGTATGGAGTAAAATCCAATCATGGTGGGAAAAGAAATATTTCCAAGAAACCAGAATTATTTTCACAATTCACACAAAGCTGAGACACATTTGAGCTCTAAACAGCCACAGTGGAAAGACTTAAAAGTCCAATGCATTCAGTAGAGACCTCACAGGAAACAAACCTTAATAATAGGGGTAAACTAAATATGGAATAAAAGCTACTTTATAACCGCCCTCACAGTTTTTAAAAAAGTTCTCAAAAGGATCAAGTTAATTTACCAACTGTGAAGTATCAGTACATAGCTCAACACTATTTAAAAGAGAGACACAAAATCCAGATACTCAACAACCTAACTCAAACAGATCTAGATTCAATGCAGTCCCTGCTAAAATCCCAGCTGCCTTTTCTTTTGGGGGAGGGGGCGAAATTCACATACAGATCTTAAAATCCACATAGAAATGTAAGGGTCTAAGTAAAGACAAAATGATCTTGAAAACTGTAGATAAATATTAAGTATCAAGAGCATCTACATCATAGTACAGAAACACTTAGAAACAGAAAGTAATTGGCAAGATAACAGCTTGCTGCAAGTGGTCCACACATTTTATAACACTTCCTTGCAAACACATCTGGCCAAGGAAGAGTGAAACTCAATTTCTAAAACTACCATTTTTCTAAGACTGCCTAGCTACAATCATGATACTAGAGTACCTAGCAATTAAGTTCTTTACAAACTTATTGCTAAAGGCATTATGGGAGCATTAACAATAATATGTCAGTTTTCAAGACTCTGAATGTTTTTACATGTTACCAAATCACACAGAATAAACAACATTTATTACAAATGCATTTATATAAACAATGGCAAACAACAAGCTGACCCTGTGATTATCTCTATCCTAAGAACTCAAGGTTCTCCAGCTCCATCTCTATGCTCTGTTTTTTCTTGATCAGATTTAGGATGGAGAGAAGGATAGACTTTTTCACTGCCCAACCATGTAAATGCTCTAACAAGCATGACAATGAGGAAGCAGAACAGTGCTCACAGGTAGATTTCATTTTGGTGTTTTCTTTCATCTAGTATTTGTAAGTAACCTACACACACCCTCCAAGTCAGCTTTAGATTACTTCTACATTACTTATAACTCCTAATACAATGGAAATGCTATGTAAGTAGTTGCTTACTGTATAATTTAGGGAATAATGTCAAAAAATTCTGGGCACGTTCAGTACAGATGCAACCATCATATGCCTAACCACACAGTACATATCAGCAAGTTGTAACATTTTTCAAGTATTTTCCATCTACAATTGGTTGAAGCTACAGATGCAGAACCCACTGATACAAGAGAGCCAAATGTATACATACCTGGTATTTCTAGAAGCAAAAAATAAAGTCCAGCAGCATGAAGACCATATTCTCGATACTTCACACTGACATTTTTTTTATGGACTACTTGAACAAAGTGATAGAATAATGCCACCAGCGTACTATAAGAAATACTGTTCTCAATGAAAAAGGTCCAAACGTTCTGGAGGGAGAGAGCAAATCATGAAAGCCAGTAATTAAGAGAAATGCCAAAAATCGCTTATTTATTTACAAGTATTTAGTGCCTCACAAAAAGAGTAATAAGAACTGGGGCTGAAACTCAGTGGTAATGCACATATTTAGCATGTGAAAAGCCTAACATCTGATTTCCAGCCCTCCCCTCCAAAAGAGTAACAGACCAGTCTGCTAGTCTGGCTCCTAGATAAATGATTGCCATCTTCAAAGGACTAAAACAAAAGATCAAAATTAAAAATTTATCATTCAAAATTACAAAGATAAGTACAAGAACTGTATTAAACATTTCAGAGATACCAATACCTAACATCACATGTTAAAAAACATCAAACTAGTACCTTGAAATTTTTGGAAAAAAGCTATTAAGATAGTCCAATGAGGGCTAGGGATTTAGCTCAGGGGGACCACGCCTGCCTCGAAAACGCAGGGTCCTGAGTTCCATACCCAGTACCACAAAAAAAACAGAAGTCCAATGAACAAACCACATCCTTATGTTTCTCTTGTACTCTTTTTGAACCATTTGCTAAAAAAAGCTAAAATTAGATTATAATAAGGACTCCTACATCTACTTAACACCTAAACATTACTAGCTTGATTGTTTTTTTCTTTACCTCTGAAGATCCACATTCTTCAATAGCAAAGGGGAAAAGACTTTCATAGAGTTTTGTGAAGGCACTCAATCCAGTCTCTATGATCTGTGCTTCTATGCTGGAATCCAAAGGCTCAGTCTCTGTGAAGTCCAATTCCCACACTGTGTCCACCCATTCTAGAGGAAAAATGCAACCAAATTAACAAGTGCTCAAAAACACTTAAAAACCAAGCACCTTTAAGCTGGGCATGGCAAGTGCATGCCTGCAATCCCAGCACTCAGGAGTCTGAAGTAGGAGGATCACAGAGTGCTGGAAGCCAGCCTGGGCTACATAGTGAGTTCAAGGCCAGCCTGAACTACATGGTGAGAGCCTGTCTCAGAAAAGAAAGCAAAGCAACGCAAAGCAAATCACCTTTAGACTCCACGTTCACTTTAGAAAAGTCACAGCTCACATTTAACTATACCAATATAGGTGTAGCGTAACTGAAACTAGTAAAAGTAAAGAAAATCTTTTTTTCTAATCACAACTGACAGTTTGCTATTAGCTTAATCATCTAAAAACATCAAGGAACAAAACACTTTTTAGATGGAACAGCTTTGGGGAACGACACTTTCACACACTTAATAGATAAGCTTTCCTATAAATTCTAGAAGACATTAATTAATGATGGCCTCACATGCACTTCTGTAAAAAAAATCTCATAACCAAGTTAATAAAGCTAAATAAAGTGTAGAGCACTTTCCTGGGCCCTGGGAAAATAATGTACCAAGTTATAAAACAGATAACAGTTGGGCATGGCGGCACACACCTGTAATCCAAGCACTCTGGAGGCTGAGGCAGGAGGATAGCTGCAAGTTCTAGGCCAGCCTTGGCTACATACTGAGTTCAAGGTCAGCCTGAACAGCACAGCCAGACCCTGTCTCGAAATAAATTAATTAAAAAAAATAGATACCATTTCCTTCAAGAAGTTTAAACTGGAGAAGACAGGTCTGACTCATACAGAAATAGCCCTTTGACCAATGGGAAAAATGTATTAACACCACATTCTCGCTGGATTCCCTGCCAAGCTCTCTTAACTCTAAGCCTTATCATACTTTTTCTAACCAGCTATTTTTCTTCAGTGTTTTCATTTTTATTGTCCCACACATAAAATTGGTACTAGATAAAAACGTGGAAATTTCAGAAAAATTATTAGTCAAAGTACTTCAAATTGATATTCTTTCTTTCTTTGCCATTGATTTAGAAAAGCTGAGCAAGATATATAGAAAAGAAGAGATGGGAAGCCACCACCTTTATTTTTTATCTCTTGATTCTCAGGGTTACAGTGCACTCAGCAAATGAAATGACAGTTAACCAGTTCCATCCTCTTTAGAATAAAATCTTCGCATCATCTTTTGTCACTTGAGACCCTGAAGGAGTCCTTGTAGCTCAAGTGACTTTGCACAAGATTCCTTCCAAAGATATGCAATATGCTGCCTAACATTAAGACCTCAAAAATACAACTGTATCTTTCTGTATTTCCAGTAATGTTTTAATGCTCCTATGTATCTCATTTCTTGTTTTAGCTTTGCATAGGATGGTTCACTACAGTCTAATTTGTAAGGAATTAACTGTCCGATTCCATAGTCCTCCTAAAGTCATCTGCATACCTTTAGTCACATCATTTCTAACACTTGGTTCTTGATAGGAAGTTAGCATGCAAAAGCAGCTAAGATACTTCTGCAACGGCCCGGGTGGAGTACGGACAGGCTTGGTTCTGGGAGGCAGGACAACCTGTGGGGTTGGGCATGAGGGGGTAAGCACGAAGGACAGGACACCGGGGTTTGTGGCCTGGCTGATGCCACTAGCTCGCTCCATTCTTGTGATGATGTCTGCTGCATTCGAGACATCTAGTAGGACCTATGAACACGAAGTCAAGAAACAAGCCTGGCTAAAGATATCTGCGAATTAATTCCACTGGAACAGATGAAAATCGCTAGGTCCAGGGAGACCTGCAGAATAAGAGGGAGCAGCCCAGGAAAACAGACTCAAGCATGGAGATCAACCAACACCAGCTCTTTTCCCTGCCGGCCACCGTCCCGGCGAGGCACAAGCCTGGGGACCCCACACGACGCCGGGAACTCCCCCCCTCCCCCGCCCCGGCCCGAGCTGAGGCACCGCCGTGGGCGCAAAGCACCTCAGCCTGTCCTTCGGGACTCGCGGCTGCGTCTCCTCACCGGGGTTGAGGTCCAGCGGGCACCAGGGTTGCAGGCCGCTCCCAAGGTCCCGCAGCGCCACCATGATACCGGAGGCACCAGCTTGCTACAGCCGTACTCAACTTTCAAAGCTCGCTCCCGCGCGCGCTCCGAGACGTTCCTGCGGACCAATCACAGCTTACGAAATTTCCAATCGCCCAATCAGCGTGCCGGACCTATTTCATCCTCTTCACCAATCATGTAGGTCGTTCGCCGCATGCGCAAAGAATAGGGGCGGGGCAGTGACGAGGTTGTAAGACGTTCGGATGGGTGGTATATTTATTGCTTTCTGTGTAAAGTAGGGGCCAGGCGCTACGTTAAAAGCCTTGTAGCTTCATTCCCGCCTCTTTTTTCTTAAATGCAGGAAAGCTAAAGATAATTTCAAACAGGATGCTACCTGTCATAACTCACCTTTGCCCTCTATCAAACGACATTTTTCTCGGGTGTCAAAGGGCTACCTTCACCGCGTCAGACGGTTCCCGGACGCTGTATATATTTAAATGGAGGTGGCAGCCCAGTGTTTACTGAGCTAAAACGATAAGGGAAAAGCAACCTAAAGCATCGCCGGAATATGTCTACATTTCTTTGTATTTGACAGAACCTCTGAGCCGGAGTTGTACTGGAAAGAAGCCGGGGCTGCCATCTCCATTGAGGGAGAGGCCCACTTTCTCCCACTGCACATGCGCAGTGAACACACCTCCTGGCAACCGGGAGGCTGAAAGAGAGAAAGGCAAGCGCATGCGTGCAGCACCTACAGCGCATCCGGCTGGAGCTTGCCTCCCCCTCTCGGCTCGGAGCCGCGAAACACCTCCGTGCGTTGCACCGTGGGAGCCTGGGCTTGCTTGCCCTGCTGCTCGGTGCTATACCCCGCCTGGTGGGCGACGAAACGTGCCCTCTAGGCTCTGTGCCGCTGCCCGCTCTAGAGTTGCACTGTCGACCCTCAACCCTCTCGCTAGCTGCTGCCCGCTGCTCGGGACTGGCGAGGTGCGGAGCGACCCTCCTCCGTGCACTGCTGCTGGGGCCGCGGCAGCCCGACCCCGGCCTCCTGGCCCTGCCTTGCTCTCCTTCCTGCGAGCAGAAGACCTCCCGTCGCCCCCCGCCCGCCCGCGGCGAACCAGGCTGTGGTGCAGCGGCCAGCGCGCTCCCGCAGGGCCCTCGTCCCCCTTCCCTAGGGCAGCGCGCGCCTGGAGGCAGGAGCCGACCTCGGGGAGCCCGGCCCCACCCGGCCTGGCGGAGCAATGAGCTTCTTCGGCTTCGGGCAGAGCGTGGAGGTGGAGATCCTGCTGAACGATGCGGAGAGTAGGAAGCGAGCGGAGCACAAGACGGAGGACGGGAAGAAGGAGAAGTATTTCCTTTTCTACGACGGGGAGACCGTCTCCGGGAAGGTGAGCCTCGCGCTAAAGAACCCCAACAAGCGGCTGGAGCACCAGGGCATCAAGATCGAATTCATTGGGCAGATTGGTGAGTCGACCCCGGGAGCTCCCCTCCCCCTGCGCCTTCCGCCGGACGGAGCCTGAGCCAGGGGCGGGGGAGAAAGCAGCAGGGTGTTTGAGGGCCCAGCTCCGGCCAGGCCCATCATGGTCTCTAGTCAACTACAGTCCGAGGCCTAAGGTTCAAGCCCCAAGTTCTGCCTGTGGGCGACTCCCCCTGCGTTACCGTCTTCCCTGCCAAAAGTGACAGCGCACTCACTGCCAGGAAGGTGGGGACAGTCAGGGCAGGAGGGGGAGCCCCACTGTGCGACCCGAGGAACACCTGGACCCTGGGTATCCCCATTGTGTCCTCAGGGCGCTCGAAGCTCTGCTTCTTGCCCACAGGATTTCAGAGCCAAGTGCTCCAGCCATAGCCTGCAGGTGGGTTTGTTAGCAGGGACTGCACCTCCACACTGGCTTGCCATCTTTAGTCATCTACAGCTGTCAGAGTTAAGCTGTGCCCCCACCCACGCACTTTTTCTCTTTAAATGTGTCCGTGAGAGGGTTCACCAGTTGTCTTATCTCTGAACTACCTATCCTATACTTGTCTTTAAAAGAAGGCCTATAAGCTTCTGCCTCGTTCTGTCTGCCTAAACTGCATTTCTCAAACTGTTATTAGACTGCTAGTCTTCAGTCGTCTCATTTTCTCCCTAAAGACAAAGAAGTGGTGTTTCTAAAACCGCAATAAATGATCAGTATTTCTCAATGCTCCATACAATTTTCAAACACAGTTATTAATCATTAGACCTAGACAGCAAGGGGCAGTAACAACAATAAGGGAGCTGCCTGCCACGAGTGGGTTATCTCCAATTCAGAGATTGTTTGGATACTTGTACGTTTCCAGAACACTCAGGTACTTCTAAAATTAATCATTTTTGCCATGAGGTCAAAAGAGCTCACAATAAATACGAAGTGGGCTACAGACACCTCTCCAGGGAATCCATACCTTGTACTCCACACAGTGTATATGACAGTTTTTGGAGACTTCCTTAGGAGTGGTTACTAAACTCTCATATCCTGAGAGTTCAGCAGAGCATTTGTTCTCTCCCTTTTGTAGGGGCAGGAAACACTGAGACACAGGTGGGAGGAACTCTAGCAGAAGAAGTCCTGGCAAGCTGTCCTTGCAGTCTGCTGTTCAGCCTCGAACATCTTTGCCTCTGGTGCTTAAGAAAATGAAGTCAGGTTGAAAACTGGCTGATCGTATAGGAAGCTTTCTATTGTTATTTTAAAGGCAGAATGTGAGAGGCCTGCTACTGTACTAGAAAAGGGGCTGGAGAATAGGTTTCATGCCTTCTGCTTTTCTGCTTCTGGCTTAGATGGTAGGGTTTCTCAATAGCAGTGGTGTTGACACTTGGGGCCTGGTAGGGCTTTGTTGTAAGGTTTTTAGCAACATCACCAGTCTGTACCAACCAGGTGCCAGTGGCACCCCTGAGTGGTGACCACAAAATTGTCCGGTTATATTGCTGTATGTAACCTGAAGGATAAAATCAGCCTTAGTAAAGAACCACGAGTTACATGAGGTAAATCAAAAATGTTTAATGTTAAATGTAATACATGAAGTAGTTGAGAAATCTCTGTTTACTGAGAATTGGTATTTTCAGATAGGAGTTTTAAAGTTACTACATCGATTCTTTGGCTCCATGATAGCAACATATACAGGCATGTTTAGTCTGTTTTATTCCATCACTCCCAAGTGGTGGTACTTTGCCAATATGTGGAAGGTAAAGCGGAATATCCCTTGAGCCAGGCAATAAAAAATGAGCCATTCTAAAGGAATTCCTCTGGTCTAAATGAAAAGGGGTTGAGGGAGGTGTTTGCTGTATGTGCCTCACCTGGTCTCTTGACCACCTCTTTAATTCCAAGACATCATCCTTACTGAATTTTCTCAAAACCTTTTGTTGCTTCTGCTGCTAACTCTTCCTAGACCCTTGGTCACTCTGGGCCAAGTTAGCCATGAGATTTTCGGAAAGTTAGGCCTCTTGATGGGCCTCAAGTTTCTCAGCTATAAAGCAAGGATAATAAAATCACCTGGTGATTGTTTATTTTGAGCACAGCAGGGAATCTTGTCTTCCATGCTTTATAGAGGGTTCTTTTCAAAAATGATAGTAGTTGACATAGCAATGTTTTCGTTTCACAACTTCTATTGTAGTCACTGACTTACTGTTTTCCCTTTACACCTCTCATTACCTGCGCCAAGTAAGATTTTCCTGTGTACTTAGAGGAAGTGCACATTTTAGCTCTCTGCTTTTAAGTTCTTGCTTCTGCCATGTGACCCCATCACACCTGGTGTTGCGTACTGAGCCAGTCCCAGCTGTGTGCTTACATTGTCAATTATGCATGATTCCATAAGAGAAGAGAAGTAGATTAATATGCAGGCATGGTTCTTATTATTGGCCTTTGGGATCCCCTGCTTTTCTTTTCTATTTTTTGTTGCTGGAAATTTAGGAATTGAATCCAAACCGTTGCACTGAGCTACACTCCCAACTCTTTAAAAAATTGTTTGAGACGAGGTTTTGCTTGAGTTGATAAGTTGCTCAGGCTGAGCTCTTAACAGTCCTCCTGCCTCAGCTTCCCAGAGTGCTGGGATTACAGACTTGTGACACCATGATCTGCGGGGATGTGTTTCTTGATGAAGAGCAAGACATAAGAAAAGCCTTTCTGGTTAAGTTTGATATAAAAGGGAGTTTATATTCCTAAAACTGAGGGCACAAAGTTACTTTCCTTAGAAAGATAGTTATTTTTCTGTTTTTATCGTCTTGGTTCCCCCCAGAAGCAGGGGATGAAGCATTGTGTCACACACCAAAGACAGTCATTACAGTCAGACCTCAGGGTGATGAAGCAAGACTGCTGGGTAACCTCGCTGAAGTTGCGGTCTTGTGGTTTTCTCCTTCATTGCATTCTTTGTGTATCAAGTGGGTGGAACTTCCGATATGTTCTCAGGTCTGGTTGTGTATGGGTGACCTAGCAGGGTAAGAAAGTTACAGTACGTCATTGAGCTCTGTCTTCCTTCATCACTGATTTTGGATGAGGGTTTTGGAGAAAGTGACACTTTTTTCCCCATCCCTTCTCATTCTGTATTTCTAGCTGCCTCCTGGACATGTCCACCTGGATACACCCCAGCTAGCTGTCTCAGTGATGCATCCAGACAACCATCCCCAGCCCTTCCACACACACCCCAGTCCTTCTGCCCCACCCTGCTGCTTCTCCTGTTTCTCCACTGTGGCCTATGTCATCTGTGGCAGTTCAGCCCTAGAAATCTAGGTGTTATCTTTGGGTCTTCACATATTCAGGTGGCTTCTAATTTTTGGTCCTCTGCAACAGCTCTGTAATAGATCTTTTTTCACCCTTACTGAGGATTGAACCTAGGCCCTGTGCATGCTAGGCAAGTGCTCCATCACTGAGCAATATCCTCAGCCCTTTTTTAAAATTTTGAGGGTCTTACCAAGTTCCCCCGGCTGGCCTTGAACTTGTGATACTCCTGCCTCAGCCTTCTGAGCAGCTGGGATTTCATGCACACGCCACCATGCAGAGCTTTTCTGTATAGATCTTAAAATCTGCATTGGTTTTCCATTCTCTGTTCTGCTCCCTTTATTATGCACCCCCTACTTGACCTTCCTACCTTTTTCCTCTCCTTCACATTATCATCTGTAAGGTTGAACTTTCTAAAAGGCCATTCTAAGATTGTCAGTCTGCTCCTTAAAGTTCTTAGCAACTCCCTATTGGTTCGAAGCAAACTCTGAGCTGACCCCTACTTCTCTCTTCAGATTCATCTCTCCCTAACCCTTTTCCTCAACACAGCCTGTTCCTTCCAGAATTTTGGTCTCTTCCCTTTGTATATGAACATCTTTTCGAAAAGTATGCTCTTAGATGCACGCTGTCACTCATCCTTCAGAGCCCAGCTAACATCACTTCCATGGTGAACCCTTCCCTTACTACCCCAGCCCAGGCACTTTCTGTAGTGTTCTTCAGAGGCCTCATCAATACCTCTTCTCAAGCAGGATTTGGTTTTATTTATCTCCTTCTGAAAACTAAGGACTGCCTTCCACCATCTTGTCTCAGTGGCTAGTGCATACCAGTAGAAATTACTCAGTATACTGTATTTGTTAACTGGAAACATCCATCAGATCTAAGACTTTCCAGAAGGCATTTATGGATTTTTTTTTCTCATCTTCTAGAGTTATTTTAACATGTTCCTGCTGCCTTGAATCACCGGTGGTTCATACGTGACTGCCCCATCGGGCAGCATGGGACAGTCACACTAGGAGATACAAGCTGCTTGATGGGGTGGTCATGCTGTGCCACAGCCTGCTTATGAATGTGTTAATGCGAAAATGGGAGAGTCCAAGTTTGCTTTTCTGTTTACCATTAATTGGCTGGACTTTCTACATGTGCTTGCAGCTTAATCAAGGCCACTGAGAACTCTGATGATTCATGACTGGCGTGCACCCACCAGGGCTGCATCCTCACTGAGGTAACTGGGATAAAAAAGTGCTGAAGCTAATATCAGTTCACTTACTTTTGCATCTTTCTTTTAGTACTGAGGATTCAAACCATTTACACTGAGCTACATCCCCGCCTTTTTCTGTTTTTCTTATTTTTGAGACAAGCTCTCACTAAATCACTGTGTTGTCCAAAGTGGACTTGAACTTGCAGTCCTCCTGCCTCAGCAACCCAGAGTGCTAGAATTACAGGTGGGTACCACCAGGCCCAACCGCATCTTTCTTTCACACATTCCTTTGCCACATTGAGGCTGATCTCTACATATGAGAAAATAGCTGTCAGACCTATGGTCTACCTGCCTCTGATGTTACAGTATGAAAATGGCCACTGAGTACAATAAGAACTTATTTATTTGCCTAGGTTGTATATGTTTTGTTATCTTCAACCAGTTTTTGAACAGCATTAGTATCCTCCCTGTACCTAGCAAACTTTTTTGATGGCTTTCTCTGTCTAACAAGCCAGCAGAGGAATCTGCCAGGTCAGGCCTGTGGGATAGTAAGGTCTAAGACCTAGTCACATTAGAGCAGGTGTGCTCTAATGGCCTACATTTTTAGAAAGATCCAGTAGAGTACCAAGGGAAGAACTGACTTGTTAGAAGTGTAAGAAACCATTTCCAACAAGAATCCTTTGGAGAACATTGGTAAAAGATGTAAGGCAGGGCCAGGGATGTAGCTCTGTGGCACCATGCCTGCCTGACAAGCACGAGGTCCTGAGTTTGATACCCGGTACCAAGAGAAAAAAAAGACTAATGGGTGACTAATTGCAGTTAAAGAAACCCATTAGAATTAGGTCAGACTTCCAGAGGAGGGAAGACATAAACATCCCTGTACTTGAAAGCCAAAGAGATATTTATCTAGATCTTTAAAAAGTTTTTAGTGAACCAACAATACCAATCAGACCAGTACTTCCAAAATTTCCAGAGACTTTCGGTTTTAATTCAGTACCCCTTGGTATACTAAGTGAAAGGCATGTTGAGATTAAAGACATTGATCCTGGCCTACTGATGAGTTGCCAACAGGGTTTAGAAGGGAGCTACACATCACAGAGCTGAGGAGGTGCAATCCAGAGGTATGGCTGCTCCCATGGGTTTATAGGAGCCAGGAGAGATGAGCAGGCCATGTAAAATGTGGATCTTGACCAGACTGCCAGCCAGCAAGTGGGCTGGGGAAATCAGATAAAGAGGCAGCTCTGCTGATTCCTGTTTCTTCCAAGACCAACATGAAGCCTGGACTATGTATGACCCCATCCCAGCAGCAAGTTCCAGCCTGTGATGCAAAGCTGGCTCAATTTCCTTCAAAGTGGGAACCTCATTTCTTGGCTGTTGGTGTCAGGTTTTGCCATAAAACATCCGGAATGAAACAGTTATTTCCTTCTTTTGGACTGAGAAGGAAACTGAAGATAGAGAAGTTACCTTCAAAACATAAAAATTAAACCAATCAGTTCCTATTTTCTAATTGGAAATGTGTGGTCTCTGAGGGCTTTGGTTGTTGGGAGGAATTAGAGATGAGTGGTGGTTTCTTTGGGATGGAATAGAGCTAGTTCATGGTCTCTTAGGACCCAGACTTCTTGGATTCTGTCTTTTAAGTTATGCAAGATGATCCACCAACAGATGAACGGATAAAGAAAATGTGGTATTTACACACAGTAGAGTACTACTCTTCCATAAAGAAAGATAAACTTGAATCATTTATAGGAAAATGGATGCACCTTGAGACTATCATGTAAGTGAAATAAATCAGACACACAAGCTTAAATATTGCATTGTTTCTCTTATATGAGAAACCTGAAGTACAAACAGAGTAAAATAAAAGAGAATAGGAAGTAGGAAGCTAGATTTTTATCAAATGGGAAAGGCATCAAGAGATGGAGGGAGGAGGGGGGAGGGAAGGGAAAAGGAATTGATATGTGTCATGTGCATGTACGAACTCCACAAGTGGAGTGTAAACATTATGTATTGCAAATGTACTAATAAAAAACAATGGGATGAGGAGCAAGACATGGGAGGCAGAAAGGAGGGAAGGGAAAAGGGATGAAAAACAATTGATGTATAATATACATGTTCCAGTTCTCCACAAGGAATGTAAATATGATATGCTACAAACATATACCAGTAAGAAAAGACAATAGGAAAAAGGAGTTACAAAGTCCTATCTTGTTATCTTTGTCTCCCCCAAACAGTATATTTCCTTAAATATGGAGCCACAAATCATTTAACTGAATAAGGAAATTCTCTTACTGTGACAAATACTTTTCATGACGCCTAATTCCATTAAAATCAGAATGAAAACATTAAAAAAGTTAGGCAAGATGAAACCAATCTTTCTAACATGTAGCAAAGTAGGGCTACTGTTTCTGCTGCTTTTGCTCACAGCATTTGCAAAAACATTGCAAATGGTTTACTAATTGTGAACTTAAAAGGCCAGTTTAGCCCCACTCAGACCACACACTGTATGACATCTGATGCAGAAGCTGATGTTTTTTACAGGAGGAAAAGTATCTGGGAGAATGTGGTGCCATGCACGAAAGAACTTAGCCTGTCCAAGTGCCCTGTTGTGACAGGCAGAGCATTACAGCACTGTTGCTGGGGTGCTCAAATACTGGCAGCCTCAGTGCTCTCTGAATTGTCTCTGTTTTGTTTATTTCTCATGTTGCCTTCTGGCTGTGTGATCACATTTGTGTATTTTTCCATCCTTCTCTTCTTGACCCTGGTATTTTTCACTTAAAGTTCATGGCCATTGAGGCTTTTCTCTGCCTTTCTCTGATTTCTGGAATGAAGGAACAGGGGCACAAGACTCCCAAGTTAGGTATTCAGTTCTCACATAGCCAGCACTGTTATCCAGGGCTCATGTGGCAAGTATGAGTAGAGGAGCCCTGTCACTGGGGCTGGCCAAGCTGTTTCTACACTAGCCCTGCATTTCCTTATGTGACTGGGCAGAACAGAGATTGAATTGCTTACTTTTCCCCTACAGAGCTTGGAATTGTCATTATCCCTTTAGCAGAAGCCATTTAGTGTTAGAGAAAGTGTATTCATAATAAAAGATAGATCAAAGTATGACAATGGAGGGCCAGGGATTTAGCTCATTGGCACCACACCTGCCTCGCAAATGCTAGGTCCTGAGTTGGATATACGGTACCAGAGAAAAAGCAAAAAACTATGCTGCATTATTGGGCCAGGGATTTAGCTCAGTGGTGCCGTGCCTGCCCGGCAAGCACAAGGTCCTGAGTTCCATCCCCAGTAACGGAAAAAAAGTGACAATGGAGTAAATCAGCCACAAAACCTAACCACATAATACACTGTGAATACATATAGAAGTAGCATCACTAGTGTGGGATTATCTATACCACTGCCACCTTCATGAGTTGATAATTTTTTTAGTGCTGGGATTGAATCCAGGACCTAGCACATACCAAGTAAATGTTCTAGCACTGAGCTATACTGCCAGCCCAAGTTGGATAAATCTCATGCCACACCCTACTCTGCTGGCTCCCTGTGGAACAGCCATGTCAAGGGAAACTCCTAGACCAGGAAGAGGGGAGTTTGTTCTCCAGCTAAAAACCACATTCTAAATTTTTTTTCTTTCTGTGGATGGTTGGTCCCTTAGGGCAGGGCTGAACACTGTGTTGACCCTGAGGAAGCAGATTGGGTTTCTTAGGCCCAAGAAGACTTTGATCATACTCAAGGCTCAGATCTTGTGCTGTCCAGCCTAGACACAGAGCTAAAATGCAGCTTTCTCTGGATGCCCCTAATGCTCAAGTCCTCTTGAGAAAGATGGGCTCTCACCCCCTGGGGAGACCAAGAACTAGGCCTTATTTGCAGTTGTCCCAGAGACTACTCTCTGTATGAAGACCCAGCTCTCTCTCCCCATGTAGCAAACCACAGAAGCATCAAGAGTGCTCTTCCTGCTCCATTTCCCACCTCACCAACCCTGCTGCAGGTTGTAGCCTGGCTTAGCACTTGAACCTAGGAATATCTGAGGGGTGGTGGCTTGAACTATCATGTGGCTATATATCATCACAGACAGAATTAAATGTTCAACCAGTATGAGCCCAACTACAGGGGCCCTCCAGGAAGCCAGGGTTATGGGCTTCATCTTTATAGAGGACCATCAGTCCAAACTGGGAAAGAAAGATACAGCAAAACTTAAATAGCTGAATGCAAGCAGGCATAAAACAGGACAAATAATGGCATGCGCTTATCACAAAGAAAAAATGTTTCCAGAAGAGGATGAATTTAGTGCAATGCTTCTCAAAGTGTGGTACCACCACACCCTGGGAACTTGCTAGAAAGATACATTTCCAGGCCCCACCCCAGACCCTGAGTCAAAAACAGCCCTCCAGAGGATGCTGATGCATGTGAAGTTTGAGGACTGCTGACCCAGATGAGTGAAATAACATGAAAGCATCCATGTCAGATATCACATGCCTGCCTTTCTTAGTGACAGCAGCAGCTAGTGGCTTTATTGATTATTTGCCATCTACTAGTTACTGTCCTAAATCTTTTACCTGCATTACCTCCTCTACTTCTCATTATAGCAGGTTATAGACAGATATAGTTCAGAGGAGGCCTGCTCTAATCACAGCCCTGCAGCCAACTCTGTGGCTCCAAGCCAGTCCTATAACTATGCCACACCTCAGTTTCCTTCTCTCTTAAATGGGCAATAGGGCCTGACCTAGCTGTCTTGCAAGATTACTAAAGGATGATACAATTAAACACTGACATTTATCCTTTCAAAAGTTAGAAATGTTAAAATGATAATCTACTTTGATATTGGGTCCTTTGAGGTATGTATCCTTCAGAGCTGCTAACTGAGGCCGGCTGAGCTGTTTCCCCTGTTTCTATCCTTCCTTACTTTTGAGTAGGGGGCAAAGTTACTGGATTGCTACCTGGAGCAACATCCTAGAGACGATTATATTGGGTTCTCCTTTTGCCACAGAATTTCACTTTACAAAACGTATGAATCACCTAGCCATTATGACACACCTGTAGTCCTAGCAATTTGGGAGGCTGAGACAGAAGGATCACTTGAGCCCAGCTCAAGGCCAGCAGGGTAGCATAATGAGACCCCCTACCAACACCAACAATACAAGATGGAAGAGTCTTTGGAAAGGAGGGAGAGAGAGAGAGACTAGTGTCTGGGATATGCAGTAAAGAGGCAGGGGTCAGGGAAAAAGTCCAAAAACAAAGCTGGAAGGGAGCTATTAGGGAGGTCCTTCTGAAGGGTGGTGCCTCTGGCTGGAGCACCCTCACTAGGCCCCTGTAGCCTGGATCTGATAGAAGACGTGTTGCTCTCTTTCCAGAACTCTATTATGACCGTGGGAATCACCATGAGTTTGTGTCCCTGGTAAAGGACTTGGCTCGGCCTGGAGAGATCACCCAGTCTCAGGCCTTCGACTTTGAATTCACCCACGTGGAGAAGCCGTATGAGTCCTACACAGGGCAGAATGTAAAGCTACGGTGAGTTGTCCCTGCACCTTCTCCACTGTCCCAGAATCTGTCCAGTGTGAGCGAGGACCTGAGGCTGTCCCCGCTCCTGAAGATCTTTATATGAGAAGGAGGAGTTCTGTGGTGTGCTGGTAAATGTTTAATAGTGGGCTTTTTGGGGCAGAGCCCCCTGATTTGTAGCATGTGTGTGTTTCTGTTGTGTAAGTACACTGTGGCCAGTTTCCAAATGCTACTTGTGTGTTCCGGAATGCAGATGTGGGGCGATAGCATTACTGTCACGCACGGACTGGGTGTGCATTCCCTCACAAGCAAAGAGCATCATAGATTGTAGGACAGTCAGTAAGAACCACTGAGTTTAAACTGGGCATGGTGGTGCACACTTGTAATCCCAGCAGGGCTGGGGATTTAGCTCAGCGGTTTCGCCGCCTGCTGCGAAAGTGCAAGGACCCGAGTTCGGTCCCCGGTACCAAAGAAAAAAAAAAAAAAAGAGAATTGAGAACTTGTAATCCCAGCACTTGGGAGACTGAGGCAGGAGGATCTTGGATCGCCCTGAGTTCGAGGCCAACTTGGACTACACAGTGAATTCAAGGGCAGCCTGAAGTACATAGCCAGACCCTGTCTCAAAAAACCCAAACAAAAAAAAGGAGCATTGAGTTTTTAGTGTATATTACCTTGGTTTTAATACAATTAACTTAATGTAATTAATTTTAAATAATAGCTGTATTTAATAACTAGGTCATAAAATTCTTGAAACTTTGAGCATCAGCTTTGGTAACTGAGCTGGCCCCAACACACCCTCGGCTGAGTGTCAGGAGATACTGACCACTCATCTAGTTCTACTGTACAACAGCAATGTGACCTTGAGCTCCTTAACTCAGCTTTCTCACTTGAAAAATGGGTACTGTATTTAGATTCTAATTTTAGATCTGCCTTCTCCATCTTTTGGGGTTGATAAGAAAATAAAATGCAACACAGTATAATGAAGTCTTTAAAAATTATGCCTATGCATGCCCTTGTTTATAGCAGTACAGTTTATAATTTCAAAATCTTGGAAACAGCCTATATGCTCTTCCACAGATGAATGGATAAAGAAAATGTAGTATTTTATATACAATGGAGTACTACTCTATCATAAAGAAAGATAAACTTGAGGCATTTGTAGGTAAATGGATTCACCTTGAATCCATAGTGTTAAGTTAAATTAGACACACAAACTTAAATATCGCATGGTTTCTCTTATATGAGAAACTCAAAATATAAAGAGCAAAATAAAAGATAGATAATAGGAAATAGGGAGTTCTTTTTCAAGTGGGAAGAAAAACAAGAGAGGGAGGGGAAGAGGAAAGGGATTACAAAAAAGAATTGAAGAAACAAAAGGCCCTGGTTATATCCCCAGTACCCCCCCACACACACACACACACAAAGAAAAAAAAGAAGGCCACTAGATTTGGTACCTGGGAGGCCACATATTTCTTTTTCCTTTCAGAAGAGCAGTTTCTATTGGGTGGATGGTGGTTGGTAGTGGCTGTTGAAGAAGCTGCAGCTGTTGGTATAGTACCTGTCATGTGACAGCTATCTCTGAAGAAAGGCAAGTGAACCTGTGGCAGGTCGAGGTATGGCCTGTAGAAAATTTTGGAGTGAGTTTGAGACTTTTTGTAAGCTCAAAGGAAGACAGTATTAGCTGTAAAGAGACTGAATATTTTGGGAAAATTTGAAAAGTAGAAGAATCAAGGTCCTACATCAGGATTAGAATCACTTGGGAAGCTTTAAAAACTATTAAGTCCCTCAACAGAGCAATTAAATGTTTATATTCCTGGGCATCAGGATTTTCCAGTTCTCTTCTCCCCTTGCCTCAGTTGATTCTAATGTGTGTTCAGGATGAGAGCATTTGTGCCAGGTCTTAAGGAAGGAATGCTGTTGAAAAGGGTAGGTTGATAAAGGTGTAGAGACATGTTTAGACCCTAAGTAAGAAATAGCAAAAGGAAAGAGGCAGAGAATTAAGAATCTTGAGTTGGAAGGCCTTTCTTTTCTTACTAAAAAGTAGTATCTTCCACAGACAGGGAAACAGGCATGGAACCTGAGCAATTAGAAAAAGTTTAGGGACAAATGTCTTGGCCAATGTGACAGACATTACTAAGGTAAATAAAAAGGATTGCCAAGGAGCAGTCAGTGCCATAGAGTATAGTAACCTACATGTGTAGTTGATGTGGCTAGAATATCTGTATAATTTCTCCACTAACACTTAAACCAGGCAGTAGAGATTATCTAAAAATTATTTAGAAGAAAATATAAAGGGATATTTTCTCCATCATTGAGCATTAGCATAGTGTTACATAAGGTGACAGGAATGCTGGGGGAAGGCGGTGCTGAGGTTGGTGGCCATAGAGCTTGGGCTCATTAAAGGTCAAGAACTATGTCTCTGTCTTCTTTGTAACCTGACCCCTGCTACTGCAGACTCCTCTTTCCAAGGCTGAGCCAGACAATTCTTTGCTATTCACATTCAGTTTCTGTTGCTTTACATAAAGACTTTCTCTTTTTGGAGTACATTTTTCCTTTGCCCACATCACTGGATTGGGGTATCTCAATCAGCACTTCTATGTGTTCTAATTTTTCTGTTATTTGACCATCTCCCATTCCCATGACAGTGTATCTTATCCATGCTATGTCTAACATAGTGCTCAGCATAGTAGAATTTACTGAAGGAACAGCTATTTAATTTCTCCATTGCCTATCAGTGAACATTTTTCAACTCCCTCTTTTAACTGTGAGGGAGTTGAAAAATGTTCATTGATCACATGTTGTTTGGATAGGCTCTTGTGTATTAATCAGCTTTCCCATCATTGGGACAAAATACCCTACACCCAAAATGTAAGGGTTTATTTTGGCTCACAGTTTCCAGTGGGTTCAGTCCCTGGTAGGCAGATTTCAAGACAGAAATGACACAGTGAAAGGGCATAGCAGAGGAAAGCTGCACACACCACTGTGGCCAGAAAGCAATGAGAGAGGAAGAGGGCAGGAATACACCCCTCTAGTCACACCCTCAGTGATCTGCCTCTTTTGCTCAAGCCCCACCTCCTAACAGCATATTCAGGTATAAACTTATCAGGGGCTTAATCTACTGACAAGTATAGTACCCCATAATCCAGTTACCTTCCCAAAGCCCCACCTCTGAATACATGAGGTTTGGGGGGAAAATTTTAGATCTAAACCTTAGTACCCTACACTCAAAAAGGCAGAAGTTGAAGAAATGAAATCTTCATATACCTACATGGTTATAATGGTAAGGTCTAAGCATAGTATGTTTTTGGAATACATTGCAGAGAAATAAGTTTTAGTGCAAGGGATTTGGGAAGAGGTTTCAGTCTCCCTGGAATTATAATTGCAAAATTTTGTTTATATGTACATATGTGTAGTTTTTTTCTGAGAAATGGGTTCATAAGTCCTTAAAGGTATGCAAATCCCTAGAAGATTAAGAATCACTGTCAGGGGCTCTCTGAAGTGGGTCAGTTTGCTGCCTATATTGAGGTGGCTCTGGAGAGTAGGAGTATTCATTCATGACAGCTGCATCTTCCACAGCTATTTCCTCCGGGCCACCATTAGCCGCCGCCTCAACGATGTTGTCAAGGAGATGGACATTGTGGTGCACACACTGAGCACGTACCCAGAGCTGAATTCATCCATCAAAATGGAGGTTGGGATTGAGGACTGCCTGCACATTGAGTTTGAGTACAATAAATCCAAGTAAGTGTCCCAGGCCCCTTGGTGGTGGTGTAGTTACTTAAGGAGGTTAAGACAGAACCTGATCTGGATGCAGAGTGATGGAAACCCATGGTTTCACTGTGTCCTGATGACATGCTCTGGGAGAAGACCACAGAATAATACAGCAAATATATGTATTAGGGTAGTTTCAGTAAATGGAGCCGGAAATACTTAAACTGCACTGTATATATAAACTACACTCTAAATTAAGATGTTACATTTAATTTAAATAAGATGTTTAAAGTAAACATCCTAACATGCCTTTTCAAAGCCAAGCTAAGCTAAATTTAAGATTATTTGTTTTGGAATCTAGGTACAGCTATTTCCTTCTGTAAATGAGGTCAATCACAAAACACAATTCCATTATCATCTGTTTCCTCTTTGTCTTTAGCAATCAAAGTGAGGAAACCAAACACTGGCAGTGGTTTGCTGCTTTCTCCCTGAACTAAAATGAATTGTGTCAAAGAACACCTGATGCATTTTATAAAGATCTTAAAATAACTTCATTTTAGTTGGCAAGTTGATAAACTATATATATTTACATTGTGTTTACTCTTGGAATGTGAAAATATTTAATTGCTTTTAAATCAAAACTTTCTGGCAATCTTAACAGTTTAAATGGCATCTTTCTTTTGACTATAGTATGTTCCCCAAAATGTTTAGAAATCAAATATCCACAAGAAAAAGTGACATTTATTCATAGAGAGCTTTTTTAAAAAAATCACAAAGTCTGTAGTTACCATTCTCACTATAGTATGCACACCCCACTTCCCCCCAGGCCCATTGTCCATCAGAGCCTGGGGTAGTAGGAGTTGAGTCAGATGCTTTGCCTTTGAGAGAGTTAGGAACATACTTGAATTGTGGAATAGTGACGAATTTAAGGTATACCTCTCCTTCCGTGCCCTCTGACCTGGAACCCAGTAGGTACCCTATAACATGACCAGTGCAACCTGGAACCAGCCTACTTGGCCTGGCCTCCTTAGAGCAGGGGTTGAGGTGCTGGGAAGGCAGTCAATCTGGGCCTGGCATGGGAACAAGCTTCTTCTCAATCTTGGGGCTCTGTGTGGTCCTCCCCAGCAGTGCCCCAGCCACCTTGTGAAGGCAGTAGCCAGCAGCAGTGCCACCTGTAACAGCTCAGAATAGCCATTTGGTATATATAAGACCGAGAGGAAGTAAAGAATTAAGTGTTATGTACATGTACCAACTCCCCATGATGAATGTAATCATTATGTACTACAAATATGTACTAATAAGAAATGTTTTAAAAGTATATTCAAGACCAAATTTAGTGTAAAAGAGTGCTTTAGAGAGTCAGTCACATGTAGTTAAGCAGATATTTCCCAACTGTTGCTTTCTGTTCATGACAGACTACACTGTGTGAGAATACATGATTTATATATAGTAGAAAGGACCTAGGACCTCAGATCAGGCCCTATTCTGCCATTAGGAAGTATGGCCAAGGTTAGTAGGTACTAACATTTTTGCACCTCAGTTTCTTACCTGAAAAATGGGCATGAACCAGGTCAGTGGGTTTCAAACACACAGAGAAAGTGTAATATGAAGGAGACGCCACAGGTTGTGTCTCACATAGGTGTACTTCTGTGTAAGATTTTGTTTAGAATAAAGAAATGTTTCTTTTACAAAAGTTTAGCAAACCTTAGAGTCCCTGGTCACTAAGTACCCCTGTGGGATGCTGCCAGCAGCCTCCTGCTGCTCTCACAAGTGTGCTGAGGTAAGGGACTCAATGCCTGCAACTCCTCCTGACAGATTGCAAGCAGAAGGGCCTGTGAAATAGCAGGGATCACCTAGTCCTGGAAACAGTCACCTGGACTCACCTCTGTCTTTGCCCTTTACTCTCTTCCTAGTTAGATGACTGTTCTATTCCAACTTTCATTTTCTCACCTGTCCTGTAAGGAGGCTAAATTCTGAATTCCCTGCCAGCATTCATGCCCCATGAGTCTGAGCTCCAGGTTTGAAGAGTTTGTCTTTCTGTCATGCCTGATAGATTACCAGTACTACTGACTGATCCAAAGTGAAAAACTTGAAGGGTTAGAAAGTCTTACTGCAATGTGATTAAAGTGCTAATAGCTCCCAGACTACAAGCCAGGAGAGCAAAGCCCAGAGGGCAGGCATTGAGGCAGAGGGGACTTCCTCATTTCACACAAATATTCTTGCCTGGTCTGCCCAGCCCCGGGCAAACAGTAGTGTTTGCTGTGAACCATCAAGGCTCGGCTCCCAAATGACATTATGTGAAGATCAGAGAGGAAGGGAGAGACCTGGTTCATGCATGTGTGGGATTGGCCTCCTGTACATTAGAAGGACACATTTTAAAAGAACATACAAAAGTTCAGGAGGTATATGCCGAGAAGATAGAGCAGATGAACAATTATGAACGGGTGAAGCATCATGTAGGATCAACATCCTTTGAGTTGGAAGAGTGGAAGTTACTTAGATTTAGGTAAAGAACACATTGCAGCACAGTGGTGAGGATGAGAAGACAGTGAATGTGCACTGTGACTATGCCTTCCACCAACGTCCAAGGCTGGGGCGCTGTGCTTTCCACTGAAACACAACGGTCAGCTCTTGCACCAATATCTTGTTTCTACTTTCTTTTCTCAGATACCACTTGAAAGACGTCATTGTAGGGAAGATATACTTCCTGCTGGTGAGAATCAAAATCAAGCACATGGAGATAGACATCATCAAAAGGGAAACGACAGGCACTGGCCCCAATGTTTACCACGAGAATGACACCATAGCCAAGTACGAAATCATGGATGGGGCGCCAGTGCGGGGTAAGCCTCCTGGCACAGGGCCTGGGCCACTACTCCTTTGCACCCAGGCCCGGTACAGAATTTGGAAGGGCTTGATGGATATGTTGCAGTAAGATGTGCTATTGACCTGTGATTTCTTAATCTAATTGTCCACCGTGGGTATCAATAAGGTGGAAGAGAGAGGCTGAGTCTGTGGAATTTCAGGCTCCTACCCTATCTTCCTCCAGAACAGCTCCGCGTTGACCTCATTTGCAAACAGTCTGAACATCTTACTCCTTTTTCTTCTTGACATTCTGACATTCTTTGCCGCTTGAGGCAAGAGTTTCACACATGGTAGTTATTTTTTTTACTTAGTTTTACCTCTGATAAAATTTATTTTTCTTTTTATGGCATGGAGGATTGAACCCAGACCTCATGTATGATAGAGAAGTGCGCTACCCCTGAGCAGTACTCCCAGAATCTAGCTCTGGTAAAATGACTCACTCTCTGACTCAGTCACTGGGTGTCCAAGAGCACTACTACACAGGCTGGCCCACACTGCCAGGTACTGCAGAGGGCACTGGGAACCCAGTGGAAATGGTCCTTCCCAACTTCCACGGAACTCGTACTGGGTGAGTGGATGTGAGAGCCCTTTGAGACTTGGGTACTTGTCTGATTATTTAGGAGTAGCATTTGTTTATGTTCTTCATTGCTTCTAGCCATCAAGGATGAAGACTATCTCTCCTCACTTTGAAGTGCTTGGTACTTCCGAGGTTGTTTTCAATGTATTCTCAGACTGTTGCATATGAAAGGAGGATTGTCACAAATTCAGTGTCCTGAAGCACTGGGGACACCCTCAGATTCTTTGGTGCCACTGTGCCAGCCCTTTAGGAGTTAGGACTGAGCTCTCCTGATGCACTCTGATGTCCTATTTTTTTGACCATATTTGCAAGTAGAGTCAACTGACATGTTTCTTACACAGATGAAATGGGGCACTGAACAGCAGATAATTAAAAGATCTTTTATATTTAGCTTTTAGACTATATTATGGGTCTGTCCTTTCTCAGTAGAATTACTGCCCTAATTTTGTTCCTTTCGCAATAGGAAAGACACAGTGCTAAAGCTGGAAGGACCTAAAATACTGGGCAGTGGGATTCTGTAATTTTCCATATGAGAAAATTAAAGTCCAAAAAAAGCAACAGATTTACTCAGAAGTCATACAGCTGCTTAGTGGAGAGTGGGCCAGAATCAGTATTTTCTGTTTTCCAGGCCACCACACCATTAGAGTCGGGATATATTTTTGGGGCATACACTAGGATGGAGGGAGGGGGCATCGCATTTGCTGGGTGGCATGGCAAAGGAGCTGGGGTTTTAACAACTGCCTCTTGGAAATCCATGAACTAGAAACATTATATGTAATCAAAAGATGCTGAATCATTTCCCAGCACCATTCACACCTGTTCTTTACTGTTTTCTGCACGGGGATGCTGAGAGAACATTCAAGAGCCATAGAAGACTGAAATGGAACTGGGAGTCACATTTTTGCCCTGGGCAACAGAATGCAACTTCCCAAATGGCAGAAGCATTTGCATACTATCCTATGTCATGCTCAGCAGGCATCTTACCTGCTGTCAACAGGGAGGGACTTGGTAGGAGGAACAGTGAGTCACTTTGTCCCTTGCCCTGATCTCACTTCACCTTGCCTCTTACAGGAGAATCTATCCCGATCCGGCTCTTCCTGGCAGGGTACGAGCTCACACCCACGATGCGGGACATAAACAAGAAGTTCTCCGTGCGCTATTACCTCAACCTGGTGCTGATTGATGAGGAGGAGCGGCGCTACTTCAAGCAGCAGGTGCGATGCCTCCTCTGGGCCCTTTGGTGCCCTCAGGACAGAACAGAAAGGCCATCATTCCTGTGCAGGATCAGGCTTTATTTTTGATAGAAAAAACAGAATGGTATAAGGGAGAGAGCTGCTAAGGCTCTATACCACTAATTATTTTACCAAGAGGTGGTGACATTAGGCTACCTAGAATCCCATAGCAGAAATGAGTTTCCACTTAATACCCAGAGTCTGCTTGCTTTCTCAGGCCTACCTCCTGCAATCACCCTGCCCCCTGGCCCACAGCGGGCACAGGAGGTACTGACACCCACTGCTTCACTGAGAGATAAGCAGAGGAGGTTCTTGCACAAGATTCCCGAGGACAGAAGTAGAAACCTCTGGAGAAATCCCTGAACCTCCCTCTCAGGTGTCAAATTGCCCCCTCTCCTAATTCTGCAGGAAGTGGTGTTATGGCGGAAGGGCGACATTGTACGGAAGAGCATGTCCCACCAGGCAGCCATTGCCTCTCAGCGCTTCGAGGGCACAGCCTCCCTGGGTGAGGTGCGGACCCCCAGCCAGCTATCTGACAACAACAGCAGGCAGTAGGCCACTGGGCCAGGAAGCTGCGGGGCTTCCCCCCAGCACCCACATCTACCAAACACCAGCAGCTGAGAGAGGGGAAGGATGGTGTGAGGCTCAGCTGACCATTATTTGCAACCTGAAAAAAAATCATGTTTTTGACTTAAATTCTTTTCTCTGAAGAACTAAAGGGGCTTGGGTTGGGAAGCAGTCTCCTTGGGATTCTGCAGCGGATGCGAGGATAGGGAGAGGAAGCATCATGGAAGCTAGTTCTGGGGAAGAAGAGCCCTCCTCCTGAGCTGCTTTTGTGTCTCAGAGGAGACCCAGGGCCATGCAGCCTTGGCTTCTGGCTCTGAGTTTCTTGACATAGGATCTGAGCAGGTCCCTGGGATTTGGAGCGGCCAGCAGGGCCCTAGGCAGTCACATTTCATACTCCCCTTGGCCATCCCTGAGGTAGTCCCAAGAGGAGAGGCCCTGTCCTGTCCTAAATGGGGTGGAGGGACCTCAAGATCAGGAAGCTACCTCTCTGGGAGTCTCGGACATGATGCTTTGGAGTTTCCACAGTCATCTTCTCTCTGGCCTGTCACTGCTGGGACCCAGGTGCCTGCCTTCCCCACCTGCTGTGGCTTGTCACGAACATCCCAGGACAGAAGCTGATGGAACAGCTGGGGGCTGACTGGCTCCTCATCCAAGAGAGCTACCTGGGTCCAGAAAAGCCCTGGGGTCAGTGTCATGCATGGATGGCGAAGAGGTTCAGCCACTAAGGAAGGAGGACTCAAGCATGGCAACTGTCTCCCTTTGAGTTTGACTCTACTTGGTAGTCTGAGGTCTGGGCCCTTCTAGGGTATTACTGTAAGTAATCCAGCAAGCTCCAAGCAAGAGCTTCTGTTCTCTTTAAGATGTTCTGGGAAGGGGCCAGGATTCTTTTCCTCCCTAAGACTGGACCCTTCTTCACTCCTTGTCTCCCATTTAATTTCTAGGAATTAGGGCTTGGTTTTAAGCACTTGTAAATTTTGTCCTTACCCCTACTTTAAACCTGTTCACCTCTCTACCTGTAAGTTATGGGAGGGAGATGGGAACCCCAGCAGAGGATTCAATTACCACAATTTCCAGATAATTTTGCTTGCCAAATTACATCTCATTTTCAGCAGTTCACCCCATTTAGGACCACTGATTTTTTTATTGTTTAAAAATATGAAAACTTTTGCAGATGTTATTACACTAGAGGACAGTTTTCCCTTGTTGCTCTGTGCTTGGGCCTATACTGTAGTAGTATTTACTATCTTTTCTGCCTCATCTGGGAGGAATTACTCTATTGGCTCCCTTCCCTTTATACAAAGCCCAATCAGACCCACTGGCCAGTCGGTACAGTATCTGGTCCTTTCAAGTTTTTGGTAATTTGGAAAGTAGAAGTATTGGTTCCTGTCTCCTGTTTCAGTTAGTGTAGAAAATGGAGACTTCTCTTTTCATCAGAAATCAGGGCAAGCCTGGGCCTTCCCTGGGCCAGCTCCTGGATCAGAGTGAGACTGGAGTGAAAGACACTTGAGGGATACATGTATTTGATTGGGAGCAGCAGATCCAAGGTAAATTTGTTCCCCTGTGCCAGACCTGGAGTTCAAGTGTGACACACAATCCCAGTGGAGCAGGGTCAGCCATCCAACTGCCCTTGGACTACCAAGGCTGGAACTTAATACATCCATGAAAGGCAGGTTCTGTGTCCTTTTTTCATAGCAAGAGAATGGGCTCCAGTGTGCCTCCTTTTTTTTGGTATTGGGGATCAAACTTGGGACCTTCTGCTTGCGAGGCAGGCACCGGCACCACTGAGCTAAATCCCAGGCCCTGGCATACCTCCTTTTAATAGGCAGTGTTCTAACTAGAAAGCGTTTGTCAGTTCCTCTGCCTCCCAACTGACAACAGAAATTCATTTCCCAACTTTCCTAACATCTTTTCTTCTTGGAGAACTAGAAGGTAGAATTTGCTTTGATTATCTCAGGAGCTGTGAACAAGCCAGGTCTTTTTTTCTGACTATCCCTGTTCTTTCTCCTCTATCAACTGTGAAAGTGAGGGGGAGGGTCCTGCCCCTTCCTTTAAGGTCCTCAGACCTAGGAGCACGTTAGGTACTAAACCAAACAGTGCAACCTGTAAACAAGCAGCTGCAGTGTTTACATGTTTCTTAATGTGTTGTCTTTTCAATAGCTGTATTTTAAAAAAACACTTGTTTTAATGATCTAATTAAAGGACACCCTGTGGCTTTGGAGGCATCATGCCGTGGTTCACCAGGGTCTGTGGTCTCTTCTGTCTAACACTGTTCCACCTCTGCCATTCAAGGCAAGGCAGACACCCACTGTGACTGCAACACAGCACATTCTCTGAGTAGACAGCCCGCAGTGAACAATGACAAGCACTTTATTAACCACCTGTCATAGACAAGTGCGTGCCTGAGAAGTAAATTCAGGTTTTACCCGTCAACTTGTTTTGAAACCACGCATGGCTTAAACTGAACTCTGTGGGGCCCAGAGGACTTAAGGGGCAGGTGAGAAAGGCTGGTATATTGAAAGACCAAAAGTTAGGTTCAGTGGTTGTTACAACTACTAGCAATGGTAAAGGTAAAGTGCCCTGCATCTTCTAAGCAGCAAAAGAAGCCAGCCTGGAGGTAAGAGATCTACAGTGGCATATTCACCACATCCAGTGCACTTCAAAAAAAACACTTTCCAACTTTTAATATTAAATCTTTTATTGAAAAAAGTACACAAAACCACCTGTGTACATAGTCCAGGTAACATAGTCCCAGGTAACATTACAAGCAAGCCTTCTCAGGCTTTCTTTTTCTCTCATAAAAGCTTGCCTTCATTCCAGCAATAGTGCCTCAGTTAATTTGGTTCCTTTTCTTCCAGGCTCAAAATAAAATCAAACTCTTCTACCAAAAAGGGAAAAAGGAAGAATTAGGTCTTATGTGTCCTTTTGCACAGGAGGAGTTAATGCCAAGCACTGGTGGATACTATACATGTTACGAAAGCGGAAGTTATTCATTCATACACTAAGGGTATCTTACTAAGTACCAAGCACTGATAGGCACTGGTCCCATAATAATAGGCAACTCAGGATACCTGCCCCCCCCCCGTGTGTGATAGGTGAGGGAACTTTACTCAGGTTTAATGTCATGCCCTTATTAATCACATAAGAAGTGAATTCACAGGACCCACTCTTACCTTGGGTAAGGGACTGAACTGAGAGTCTCTGGCGAGTGAAGAGAGCCATGTTTTTTAAGGGACCCCCAGTAGCTTTGTGAGCTTGGTGATAGGTTTTAAGCTCAGCTAGGGAGATGAAACGCTTCATTATCCGAACAAATTGTACATCCACCTGTGTGATAACAGAGTATGAGACAGACAGAAGTATCCAGCCAGACTCTGCCCACTGGTTTTTTTGTTTAAAAGATGGGTGCACTATGTTGCCCAGCTTGGCCTCCTGCTTTATCTTCCAAAGTAGCCAGGACTACAGGCATACACCATCACAACTGGCTGCTGTGTTTTTATTGCTTGCAGGAGGCTACCATGACAGAGCTGTCAATATTCTATTCTAATCTCCAAAACTTCATCAGACTAAGAGCTGTGCTATGTTCCTTGACCTAACAGCACCCCGTACCCATTTCTCTTTGTATATTTACCCCCTCTTTTGAAATAGGAAGAATAGGCAGTCTTTACCATAAACCATTTGGGGTTGTCCTCTTTGCTAGAAGGGTCATAATGGGGATTGTTTTCCTCAAACTGTGTGTGGTCTGGGTAAGCCTCCTTTACAATCTGTAATGAAACCAAAAGTCTCTGTTCATTGGCCGCACAGTCAGCCCTGTCCTCAGCTCTGCATAGTTACGATGTTTACCAAGCAGATGTTTGTCATCACTGTAGTCAGTCTAAAACATCTGGCTTCTCACCCTACATACTCAACCCCACTGGCCTTGCTGTAGTCACCCTTGGCTCAGATATTTGGAAATACACAGCCTAAACCAAACACAATTAGGAAATCAACCTTGTTTTTATCAGCATGTTCTAAAACTAAATGCTAAGTTAGTTATTATTGGCACTGTACAATTAATAATTTTATCCCAGCACCTTTTGGCTTGAAGGAACTACCATCTGGCCTATTTTTCAATGAGAGACTAAGGCTTAGGAATGAAGAAAAGTATGTGCTGGGGCGCCTGAAGTGAAAGGCTGCCTTATCTAGTTCTTATCATATAGGAAAAGGCCAGGGCAGTTTTTCATCTATTCTGTGATGGGAGTGTGGGAGGAGGGTATTTCTTTTTTGTTACCTATTTAAGGTATACTCCATTAAATTTACATGAATAAATCTTCCTGGAAGGAGAGGGATACAGACCAAAACCTGTCCGCCTAACCTTAATAAGTCCCACGATGCCTGGCTCTTTGCAGTTGCTATGGTAGAAGAAGGCTTCATCCTCCAGCTTCATGGCTCTAAGGAAGTTCCGAGCCTGTCCCGGGGGGAACAACAGAAACCTCTTCAAGCCATAAGAAAGTCTCTCTCTTGCTGAGACTCCCAGACATATACCAGTGCACTGGCCAGAATCGGGCCACTTGCAGATTTCATATTGTCAGAGTAAGTAAGGTATTTTTGAAAACATTTTCAGGTTAGGGTTCTGGAAAAAGCAATCTTAGACAAGAGGTTCTGCTACTAAGTCACGAGGGAAAGTGGGGCATTTACCTTACCCTAGGCCTCATGGGCCCTGCCACTCATCCTCTTACCTGGTAGTTTCGAACACCATCCCAGGATGCTGTCTGCTTGGGCTGTGCTTTGAGATCCTCAATGCTAAACTAGGCAAAAAGAAATAAAGTCATTCACTCCACAATCCTTGGGCGGTCAGTAAGCATATACGGAAGTAGACAGGTGCCTCAACAACTGAGGTGCTATGGGCTATATTGAAAATCTGTAGTTTATTGAGAAGTATTCCATGTAGCCACATGTTATATGAAAATAAGCCTTATTATCTTGTTATCTTTACTAAGAGCATTGGTTGAATAGATAATTCATACAAGAGAGTAATATACTGGTTTCCTGTACTTCACTTATTAAAGTATTACATACTTCATTGTAGAAGTTCATTTTTTCTACTCATACTTTCTCCAGGCTACTAAAATTGGTATACATTCATTCCCTGGATATATAACAACTCTTGGGAGGGTGATACCTAGAAGCATGACAAATAATAAAAGCAAGCTAAGATTGAGGTTGGCAAATTACAGCCAACAGGCCAAATCTAACCCTTTGCCTAATTCTGTAATAAAGTTTTACTTGAACACAACCACACCTGTTTGTTTATGGATACTTCTTACTACATAAGCAGAAATAAAACAGATGGAGACCCAAAAGCCTACAGTATTATTTCATTCTGTCCCTTTGAAAAGTTTGCCAACCCATGCTAAAATACAGGAGCCACAAAACAGATACATGTTAAACATGTCACTTTGAAAATCTGAAACCTGAAGCTCTGGATTTGGATTTCAGGTTTTTGGATTAGTGATGCTCCACCTGTAAAGTCTATGCATATATTACACAATTTGAAGGTCTGAAGCATTTCAGATAAGGGACATTCAACCTACAGTTAGTCATAAATCCAGCTGATTTTACTCATTTTTAACCTTTTCCTATCCTTCAAAAAAGAACAGCTGGTGATAGAATCCTATGGTTACCTTTCAGTTTTTAAAAATAGCATGGAAGGATTAGAGACAAACAGTCTAACCTTCACATCTACACCTTTCTCTAATCGGCTCTCTGGTTCTGACTTCATCAACCAGTAGTTGCTTAGATTTTTCCCATAGTTTTTTGAGTCTGATGTTGTCTGTGGACTGAAGTTCTCCACTTGAGCTGATGTTTCATCTGAGTTCTCAGTTTTGGTGCGTTTTCTTGATAGCCCTTTCTTGTCTGCAAATGGAAAAGGAAAAGAGCTATCATATTTGCTAGAGGTAATACTTTATTATAGACAAGCTTACCCTTTGACATCATAACTGGATTCAAATCCTGGGTCCTACCAGTGCTAACTACAGCACCTTAGTCTTATACATAAGAAACTTCAGGTTGTCTGTAAAAACTGGATGAGAATGCCTTCCTTACAGGCTATCTTCCAAGTAATCTAGTTAGTAAGATAAGAACATCTTTTGAGTTAAGTATAAAGCACCTTGGTGGTAGTGTTTCCTTCCCTCATTTTTTCTTCTTTGCCTTTACTCAAGCTACTTTTTTCCACTGAGGAAATGAGTACTTGAGAGTTGTTTGTGATGAAATGAGAATACAAACAAAAGGCTTAGAAAATGCCTGGCATTATAATAAATGGCCAGTAAACATTATCATCATCTTAAGACTTCTTTCCCTCTTGTTCACTGTACTTCATGCTTGCCTCCTTTCTGCTTCCTGAAGATGCCAAGAGAAGTTGGAAAAATTAGTTCATCCAGGACCTTGTAGACATAAAAAAACCTGGAATTTATCCTAAGAGAATTGGAAAAAAATGTAGCTGGAACATAATGGGCACTTAATAGCTAACAGTTATTAAGTTCATGGTAATGTGACAGGCTTCAAGCTGTGTTATTCTAACCCTAACTTGGTTAATGTACATAATCTTTGAAATATATTCTTCAGCTGGAAAATGTGTTCCACATCACAATCCAGTAATGGTAGAATCAAGGTAAAAAAGGTCAGGACCTGTTACTTGGGTCTGTCTGAATCTACACTTAACAAGTGTACTCAGAATTTAAGTTTCTGCATCAGTTGTCATTGAATATCACGGATACCTTCCTTATTTTTTTCCCATCAGTCTCTTAAGAGTTAACAGGCATACTGCAAACATGTGTTTGTAGTCAATCTGGAGCCCTCCCCATTCCTGAAAGACATACTTGCTTTACCTTCCCATGTCTTTATTCCTGCTCTTCATCCACTTAAAATGCCATTCACTTTGTCAAAAAGACATCACATTTCTGATTACTACAAGTTAGACCGTGGAAAGCTTTCCCTTTCAAGACAGCTCAAATCCCATTTCGTTCTCATTGCTTTCCCTGCAATTTCTCCCTCCTCTGGTACCTCCAACTATACAGTTGCCAGGATCCTCTTACACCTGTTTGCAATTTCTCTTAGAGATGGAACTCTTTATTTTTTCACCTTCCAGTTAATTATTCTAACAAATTATTTAACTGATACATAAAAATTACACTAATGGTCTATCGTGATGTTGGGTATGTATTCATTGTGTAATGTTTAAATCATTGTAAACATACTTCCGTGTATCTGTTCTAAATGCTAAAAACATTCAAAATCTTTTCTTTTTGAAATATATTGTACAGTGTCTTTATAGCCATCCTACTGTGCAGTAGCATATCAAAACTTCTTGTTTCTATCTAACTTCGTATGCACTGATCAACCTTTCCCCATCCATTCCTGTTCCCTGAACCCCTTGGCCTCTGATAACCATCATTCTACTCAACTTTTGTGAGATAAACTGTTTTAGACTCCACGCATGAGATCTTGAGACGCTTGTCGTTTTGTGCCTCGCTTACTAACAATCTCCAGTTGCATCTATGTTGTTGCAAAGGAACTACAGTACTGTATATCTTTACCTTGGTACGTGTCACCCTGTAGCGCCAATGTCCTTACTGCTTAATAGCTCTTGCTGGAATGACAAGCGAGAGACTGGGGAGAACCTTAGTGAGAAGTGTAAAGAAGGTGGAGGGTATGAGGGGGCTAGCATTCATTACAAGTGAACTCCAAAGGCTTTCACCACGAGCAAGGAGAGGATATGAACAGGGCCACTCACCTAGGCCAGCAGCCCCAGCCAGCCTCTTCCAGGGTCTTGGCATGGTCTGTCTGCAGCGCGTGAGGTGAGAAAGATTCTGGAATCGATGAGGAAATACAAGAAGCACCTCTACCACCCTCCAAAACCTGAGCGGAGCAAGCTGAAGGACAGCGAGGAAGGCCAGAGGGGTTCAGCTTTGGAAGAACAGACTGCAGCGCTTAATTAAACCTCTCAATTCCTTCCTCCCGCGACCCGCACAATTCCTTTTCCCAGAGCCTCCACCTAGGCTCTCCCTAGTTGTTGACTACTCTCACCCACTCGCCGCGCTGCGGGGGCGGTAGCCTGCGGCGCATGCCCAGGGGCACGCGGAAGGCGTGCCTGCGGCTCCGCGCGGGGATCTCTGGGAGCTGTAGTCCCCGCCCCCCGCCCCCGCCAGCGCCCTGGCTCAGGACCGAGGGGAGAGCCCGGTCCCAGAGTGCTTTGGGACTGGGCTTTCTCTGGGTGCCTCTGGGCTGGGCGTGTGGCGCTGGCCTTGCCGGTAAGACGGGAGTGAGGGCCAGGCTGTACCGAACAGCGATGTGGTGCGGCAAGAGGCGCCTCGGGCTACGCTTCGGCTGCCTGTGCAGCAGCGTCTGGGTCCGCGCACAGGCCCGCCGCCGACGCTGGACCGCCTGCATCGACCGTAAGGACCTTCCTGCGTGAGGGGACAGTGGGAAACAGCTGTCTTGGATTCGGGTGGGCGTGAGTGAGGGGCCGCGGTCTCCCTGCTCCGTCCTGTCACCCCGGACCCTCTCCCCGCTGGGTTCGGTCACCCCGGGACCCTTTCTCCGCTCTGTCCTGACACCCGGGACCCTTTATCCGCGCCGTCCTGTCACCCCGCGCCCTCTCCCTGCTGGGTTCGGTCACCCCGGGTCTCTACCGGCTCGTCCAGTCACCCCAGAGTCTCCTGTCACGCCGGTAACCTCCTACGGGTTCACCTCCGGGTGCTTAGAGAGGTTAAGGAACTTGTGGCTTTTTTGTTTGTGTGTCAAAATCCCGATAGGTTCTAAAGATAGTGAGAGATTGTAAGAAGCTGGGTGCTGTTGGATGGACAAAGCTTTGGGTAATACACGATTTTTTGTAACTTAAAGCCTGCAGATATAAAACAAGTATTGTTGAATCGTTTGCAGGACAAATACTGCAATTCCCCCGGCTAGTGGTGTGACTTCAGCCATTGAGACACTCTTTCACTTTTTAAAAGAAATTTTATATTCTTAGAAGTTTTATTTCAATTTATATACATGTATTTCTCGGTGAATATTCTGAGAATTTGTGAAACTCAGATATATTTATAATTTAGAGGAGGTGACCAGAATAATTCTTAGTTTTATGATTTGCCTGGAAAACTGACCAATATTGTCAGAATAAGTCTGTCAAAGTCTTTCCACTAAGCCGCAAGATCAACAATAATATAAACCACATCTGTCTCAGCATTTCCTAGGTTGATGTCCAGCATATAACATATGCAATGAAATTTGCTTAATAGAGGAGTGAGTTTTCATTGCTATTAAACAATTTTAATAAGTCAAGTGAAAGGAAATTGTCTAGTTGTATATTTATGTATCAAATTAGTTGGTGGGCTGGAGATTTAGTTCAGTGGTAGAGCATTTGCCTCTACTGAGGCCTGGGGTTCAGTCCCCAGTACCGCAAGAAATAAAGCTAATTGATGCTAAACACAATATGCAGTTGTTGGTTAACATATCTAATTATTTCATTGCCTATTTACTGTTAAGTATTTTTTAAATTAAGATTTTTCTTCTATGTCGTGTATTTGTTGTGTATAATTTGTCTTATAGGTAGGAAATTTGCTCAGTATCTAATGGGAGTGCATTTTACAGTGGCCTGAGTCTTTAAGATGTCCCTCCCTAATGTCCTGAAAGTTGTAGTTAATCATTTCAGAACCAGAGCTGAAAAGTTTGATTACTTGTCCAGTCCTCTTGCACTACAATTTTCTATGACTGCAGCATTCTTTGAACACCAAGATTCTCAGTTAGAACTCAGTTCTCTAGTTAATTTTCTTTCTTGGGTGCATTTAAAAATGCTTATATTATTCATAGGTTTGTGAGATTTGCTTTGTGCTTACACTTCAGTTGCTATAAAGTCTTTGCTCATTTCACTTGGTCTGTTTTCTTATGGAGCTTTGCCTTTTTAATGTGTGTGTGCTGCCACCTTGAATTCTGCCAATGACTCTAGGCAAGTTCAGGAGCCCTGTTATTTGTTTTTTATAGTGTATTTTTCCTGTCAGTTTAAATGTTTTAGTCACCATGCCTTGGTTGTTTGAACTATTTAGGAAGTAGCCATTTACTCCACTAAATAAGAAAAAGATGAAGATTTCTTAATATTTATTGAGCTCAATTTAAAATTCTGCAGCACTTCATTTTATATATGATGTTTGTATTATTAGCAATTATGTCATCCTTTTTGTGAATGAACTATTCATCTTTTGTAACCCCAGCTATGGTACATAGTAGATGCTCAATTAATATTCATTCTTTTTTTGAACAATACATTTAGTGTATTGACTTATTTGACTTATTTGACTATTGGCATTGTTGGAAATCAAACCCAGGGCATGCATTGTATCACTGACATGCATCCCCAGCTCAATAAATATATTTTTTGGAGTGATCTTTGAACTATAATCCATAGCAGTATTTGTTCCATTGCATGAAAAAATATAATTATTCTGTACTGCAAACATTTACTATTTTTAAAAAATGACCTGTATCCTCCAATCAGGAAATCATGGATTGTTTTTCCCTAATCATATTCCTAAAGTGGGTTTCTCCTCTGGGCTTCTTCAGAAAGCCTAATCTTGCATCCTCACAACTCTTCATTTCTAAGTTTCCCTTTTGAATGAGTGGTACCCACATTTGCCTCAGAGAGACAGACCCTGCCACCTGCACTTGGTTCTGTAAAGACTATTCATCACTAGTGGGCACTTAGGTAAATTGTTGTCTAATATAGCTCTATAGTCTTCATTAGTGCTCATTTGGTTGGTAAATGACCAGCATTTCATATTGAAAGATGATACTTCAGAAAGTAATACAAGGATGGAACTAGAAGGCATCATATTAAGTAAACTAAGCTAGTCAAACAAGTATCACATCTTTTCCCAAATATATGTAGTCTAAAAAAGATAACGTGAAAGGAGAAAAGAAACTATTATTCCAGAAGAAGGGAATAGGGGGAGGGTGATGTAAAAAGGAAGTTAAAAGAGACTATGATATTGGCATGAATTTATTGAGGTGTGCAAGTAGGTTACAAAAGAGTATGTGTGACGGTCGGGTCTGCCTGATGTCAGTGGCCCCATGTGTGTTGGGCTGGAGAGTGGGCGTGAGAGCTGCTGCTCAGGGCTGTGAGTCTGTGAGGTCTGGAGTGCTGAGGTCCCCTGTGGCCTCCAGGATGTCACCATGTCTAAAGCACCAAAGGGAAAAAGCACAGAAAGAAAAATCATCCACCCATACGGTAGAAAAGATGCTCAAATTACAAGAGAGGCCCACAAACAAGAAAAGAAGGAAAAATTTCTAAAACTTGCTTTGGAAATTTCCTAACATATATACAAATTTTCTTCCAAGATTGAAGAATGAAAAGGCTTTACGTCTCAACTTTATTGGTGAAAAACTGCAGTGGTTTCAAAATGAGCTGGACCCCCAAAAAATGAGATATTAAAAAAAAGACGCTTGTGAATTAATTGAAAGGTACTTAAATCGATTCAGCAGTGAGCTGGAGCAGATTGAGTTACACAACAGCATTAAGGACAGGCAGAGAAGGCACCACCAAGCCCGGGAGACAGTCATCAAGCAAACTATGGAGCGTGAACAACAGCAATACGAAGGCTATGGCCTTCAGATTCCAGACATTTTACATGCAAGTAGTCTGAAAACCTTTAGGGAATGAGATTTGGATCTGAAGAAATTGCTAAACATTAAAATGAGAAAACTTTGTGCGAATGATGCAGTTGCTAAGAAGCACAAGAAGAAAACTCAGAATTTAACTATAGACAAAGATTTAGGGCAATTGGAACTAAAAGGCAAATCAAGTGAATCGGATGAAGAAATGACTCCTGTGGCCTAATTGTCCTTACTTGAGTTGAAAATAAGTAATATGAGAACTTTAAGTCACACTCATTACTCATGAGAAATAATTATCTAGTATTTGCTGTTTAACTCATTCTCATAATGTGAATCACATTTGCAGTTTCAAATATGGTATTGTAATTTTTATTTAAAAATGAAAGTTGTGTCTCATTTATATTAAATTGCTAAAATAGAAGATATAGTCTGTTTTTCATTACTATAACAAAATACCAGAGGCTGGATAACATAAAGAAAAGTTTATTTAGCTCATGGTTTTGGAGGCTGAATGTTTAGACAGCACAGTGCTGGCTCTGGCAAGGCCTCCTCTTGCTGCTACATGTCATGGTGTGTGGTTATCACAGTGGTGGGAGGGCACAAGAGAGGGAAAGATCACATGGCAAGACAGGAAGCCAGAAAATGGAAGGGTCCCATAATGACATCCCACCAGGCCCTGTCTCTTAAAGGCCCAAGAGAATTAAATGATTTCAGGTTAGCTCCATTTGATTATTATATTATTTTCTGCTTTCTCATTGTAAAAAGTGATAGCTTTTATTCAGACCTAAAGGTTAGAGAACTAATGATTATAATTGTTACTTCTGAGATAATTACTTAATATATTAAACATATTTCAAGTACCATGACAAACATGGATATTCTAGAATTTTGCTCTTCAAATAATTTACTAAATGCTAATATATGTTAGTTTTCAAGAAAAGGAAAAAATAATGCTGTGTGAGATTAACTAGGTATCAACTAAATTGTTAACAATTTATACAAAGTGTTACAACTTTTATACTTCTGAAAATTAAAAATAAAGTTTATTTCTATAAAAAAAAACAATATGTGTGGTATTGTCAGTTTTTTTAAAAAAAATACACTGATACGGGGCTGGGGATTTAGCTCAGTGTTTCCGCTACCTGCCTCACAAGCACAAGGACCCAAGTTCGATCTCTGGTACCAAAAAAATATATAATGATATGTAGAGATAATCAAGGAATTGTCTAGAATGGTGTTAATTTATGTGTTTTAGTCTTTCTCTGGGAGTGAGATGCTAAGCACATTTTTCTTTTTAAAAGTATTTTTTGACTTGTGCTATTATAAAATATTTCTAAGGGGAGGAAATTAACAATTGCTGCTCCATATATGAGGCAATGGTTATGTTAGCTTGATTGTAGTATGTTGTGTTGATAGCCCGACCACCAGTTAGTTATCAGGTGATGCCTGATTGCTTGATGAAGTTACAGTAGGGGATGAAAGAATAATATACAAAGAACAAGGAATAAAGAATAATAAACAATAGTTTATTACTGGGGGGTGCAGGGAATTGATCTTAGCTCTATGTTGGCTCAGACCACGAGCTCTGCATTAGTCAATATTTATGATTACACAACATAGCAAGGGGGCATGAAGGCAGATGTAGGGAATATGAGAACTAATGCACTAATGAGTAAGGCTGTAAAAGAGGAGTAACTATGTATTCTTGTGAAGGACAGGTCACAGTTAACAAGGTACCTGTGCTATCTTGCAGGTCATAGCTAACAGGCCACCTGCATTATCTTTAGCTAACGTTTGATCTTGGAGAAGGGCTTCACAGAGTCATAATTCCTCAGCTGCAATGTTTCCTTGCTATTAGATATGTCACAACTTCATTGATCATTGAGACCTCAGTTGTGACCATTGGCGTAGGAAAGTCTGTCTCCATATACCAGCTGGAAGGTCAATGAGCAATTCACACTTAGGCCTTGGAATGACTCATAATTTTAATCAATAGCCGAATTTATAAGCCAACTCAATAATATCTAAAGCCTGCTCAGTGCAGTTTTAAGCTGGTCCCCTGCAGTAGTAATCATTTCAGTATATATATATAAACATGATGGTGTACACGTCCAAAAAAAAGTAATACCAAGCCGTGCATGTCCTCTTTCCCCTTTCATTTTCCCAGCCACCACTGTACTACAAGGTTTCATTGTGCCTTGAAATATAGACATGGACTCCTTTTAGTTTCTCTTAGCACACCTGAAATAGGTGATTCTTTCACAATGAAAGAAATAATTGCTAACAATGTAGGTCTCATTGTCCCTTTACAAATTTCTGGTCCTATTGCCATGTGCTGCTTCCCAGATTTTGCAGTCCTCTTTTTTCTAAATTCTCCATGTTAGTCCTAAAGGTCACTTTCCCAGAGGAGTCTTGTCAATATATCCTTTACTTTTATCCTTTACTTTTTTAACATACTTTCCTGTATGTATTTAGGAATCTGGATTATCTTGCGAAACATGGAAAATATTTTAGGCCTTATTTAACTACTCGACAGCTCTGCTTTCCAATTCAATTCTATCTTATTCTATGCGGTCTTTGAGAAAGCTGTAAAAACTAAATTCTATGTTTATGCCACTAGGGGATCGGGTTACTTTAAGAAAATTTTAATGCTACTCTGAGATGAGCAGTCACCTTTTCATGAAGGTAGGAAGAGATTTCTTTCTCCCATTGTCTCTGATGAAATACATTATGGTCTTAAGTTTTATGTTTCTTTCTTTCATCATCAGTCTTTTCCATGAAAGTCTGATGAATACAGGGCAAATGCCTGGCCTTATTGTTTGATATTTACCTTAATTGGAAGATTAGCCAAATTAGATTTATGGTGATTTCTCAATTGATACTTTAAAGTTAATATGTTCATGAAAAGAGGCAGCTATAGTCAGGTGTATGGCTTGTGTTTAGATGTCCCCCCAAAACCTCATATGGTCTTAGGTGGGGCTTTTTCATAGGTGGCTGAATCTAGAGAATCTAGAGTGTGTGTGTGATTGACTCAAGATACAGTGCTAGACCTGAGGGCACTAGTATTAAGGATATGAGTGCTACCCACCTTAAGTAGTCTGAAGAAGATAAAATGGGCAGGAAGACAGTGCTGAGGTCCCTCATTGCTTTTACTACCATGTGGGCCTCATGAACTATTATTTTCCTCTGAGATGCCCCTCTCCCAGGTGCCACTCTGCCTTGGAGCCAGTAAACTATAGACTGGAATGTCTACTTAACTGTAAGCTAAATAAACCTTTCCTCTTTCAACTTTGAGTGTCCAGTATCTTGTCTCAGCAACGAGAAAAGTAACTAAGACATCAGGTATCCTATTATACACAGGTAAGGATAAGATAGGCTACCAGTGCAGAAAAAAAGATGTTTATTGTAATTTGAGAAACATGTATTCTTCCCCCACCACCTTTGTCTTTCATGCTGGGTATGGAACCCAGGGCCTTGTACATGCTCTACCACTGAATTCCATCCCCAATCCTTCTTTTTTGTTTGTTCGTTTGCTTGCTTGCTTAATGTGGATTTATGAAGAGGAAAACAAATATTTTTGAAAAATAAGTAGTAGGTAAGTTAAGTCAGCCAATCCATTTGGGAGTAAAGGAGGAAGGAAAATAATGATGCTAGTTGCCAGTATCTTTATCCATCCTACTTTTCCCACTCTGATCCTATTTCTCCCCATTTTTTTCACTGTGGCCTCTGCCAGTTTAGAGCTACAACTGTATTTCACTAAGTAGTGAAGAGATGTCTCAGAAGTCACTATGTACTGTCCCTTCTTCACCTGAGAAACTTCTTAGTGATAGATGATGCTCTACTCTGGCTCCTAAAGGCCCTATTGTGTGGGGGAAATGCTACAGTTGGTCTACTGTCTCAGCTTCATGGTGCTTCTTATTGGTGGTACTCTTTTCTGACACCTGTTGTAGATTTGAACATATACAATCCTGCCCACAGCTTCCATGGGACTAAATGAGGAACAGAAAGAGTTTCAAAAAGTGGCTTTTGACTTTGCTGCTCGGGAGATGGCTCCAAACATGGCACAGTGGGACCAGAAGGTAAGAGTTTTCCTTCTGGCTAGATGTCCCTACAAATGTTGTACAAAATGACCCTTACCATCATCTCTTTATAATCCTAATTGCTCCGTATCTATCCTCCTCTTCCCAACACTTAACTATAAGTGATTTTTTTTTTCGGTACTGGGGACTGAACTCAGGACCTTGTGCTTGCAAGGCAGGCACATTGCCACTGAGCTAAATCCCCAGCCTAAGACTTAACTATAAGACAGAGGACTCATAATGGGTTATTCCTTTCATAGAAGGCATCCTGATCCTAAGATACCTGTTTTCTTTTTAATTGAACAAAGATTTGGACATACTTAAAACCAATGTAATTCTGTAGGTAATTAAAAAGGAAAACAAGTCAGGTGTGATGACATGCCTATAATCCAAACACTCTGTGAGGCTAAGGCAGGAAGGTCACAAACTCAAGCCCAACCCAGGCAACTTAGTGAGACCCTTCCTCAAAAAGAAAAAAGAATCTAGGGCACTCTACCACTAAGACACATTCCTAGCCCTTTTCACTTTTTATTTTGAGACAGGGTCTCACTGTGTTATCCAGGCTAGCCTTAACCTTGTAAACCTTCTGTCTCCATCTCTCGAGCAGCTGGGATTACAGGTGTATGCCACCATGCCTGGTGAAAAAAACCTTATAACACCAGGAAAATAGAGAACACACATCAACTGACACCTATGAGATGACAGAAACATTAAGAGAATCCCTCTACTCTTCGAAATGCGAATACCCTGTTGCCCTCATTGTATTCTCTAAAGGTGAGTCCATCTCTAAAATAGTTACTGATAACTCTGCTCTGATTTTTGCACATAGGAACTGTTCCCTGTGGAAATGATGCGAAAGGCAGCCCAGCTAGGCTTTGGGGGACTCTACATTCAAACAGATGTTGGTGGGTCTGGACTATCACGGCTTGATACCTCTGTCATCTTTGAAGCCTTGGCTACAGGCTGTACCAGTACCACAGCCTACATAAGCATCCACAAGTGAGTGCCAAGCTGGGACAGCACAAGGTAGTGCTCAAATGGGTTGACTGGAACATTTCAGATTCATAAGGAAAAGACTAATCATGTCAAGTGGGTTGCCCCTGAGGAACTAGATTGTTAATAGTACTTGAACTTGATTTTGCTGTCTTATACATTGTTTGGAGACTCAATTTGGCCAGATTTCTCCAATAGAGTAGTCAGAATCCTGTCACCCCTTCCCTCAATCCACAGATGAAACCTCTAGTAATTTGACAAAATACATATAACTGATTTTTAGATAATTTAACCCAATTATAAGTAATATCAGAATCCAGGTGAGAAATACTTTGGTCTTGGTTATCTCTGGGTATTACATATTCTAGGAATATGTTTTAATCCAGTCCTTTCCTTTAAAATTGAATCTGCTCAGTTGTGACTTTTCCCTTCTCATTCCCTCTCTGCTTTGCTCTGTTTTGCTGTCCTTTGTTCTCTTTCCCCACCACTCCCCATTTCCTTTTCATTTCTGTCTTTATCTGTGTCAATGTCTTTCCTTCTTGGTGAACCAATCAGCATGTGTGCCTGGATAATTGATCGCTTTGGAACTGAGGAACAGAGGCACAAATTTTGCCCACCGCTTTGTGCTATGGAGAAGTTTGCCTCTTACTGCCTCACTGAACCAGGTGGGTTTGTCATTCTCCAGGTGAGATCTAATAAGGAGAGTGGTATAACTCAGGTGTAGCCACTGAGCTCTCCTTACTGCCCACTGACACAGAGGCTGTTTCACACGCAGTTTGGTCATGGAGTAATGAGTGTCTCATAACTTGAAGTCACAGGACCCAGAAACCTTTAGGTCAGAGTCTCTCACAGCTACAGACCAGACCCACTCAGTAGTGACTCACTGCAGGCTGGTGTGTTGGGAAAGCCACAGTGGTCTGCTTGGTGCAAACAGTTTTCACAAAGTACAGAAAATTCTTTTAGCTGTCTGGATTTTAAAGTAGTGCATGCTAAAACCCTGTTGGACGCCCTTAACTTCACTGACTTCTTCACTCCCTTTTAATCCCTGCCTCAGGAAGTGGGAGTGATGCTGCATCTCTTTTGACCTCCGCTAAACAACAAGGAGATCATTACATCCTCAATGGCTCCAAGGTACCTGCATGCTGTCTTCCCAGAGCAAATTGGAGGTTGTTCCTATCTTGCTGCTGACATCCCTTAGTTCCTTGAGTCTGTAAGTTAATGTTCCCATAGGATTTTTATGTATTGAGAAGAGAACCTCTTGAACCATTTCCCTTTATCACCTCACTGTTTATCTCTTCTGATTCCAGATAATTTCATTCATTTCATTCTCTTTTTTTATATTCTTAACAACTAAATTCTTGTTCTTTAGTCACTGCAGTTACCTTCTACCCCACCTCGGTTTCCGTGTTGTACTTTATGTGTCTTATTGTTAGGGGGACTCAAGTGTTTTCCCAGAACTGGGAACTGGTCAGAACTCACAGTTTCTTGACACCCACATACCCCAACCCGGTTTCTAATGCCACAGGCCTTCATCAGTGGGGGTGGTGAATCAGACATCTACGTGGTCATGTGCCGAACTGGAGGACCAGGCCCCAAAGGCATCTCCTGCATAGTTGTTGAGAAAGGATCCCCTGGCCTCAGCTTTGGCAAGAAGGAGAAAAAGGTGAGTGACTGTGGGATAAAAAGCAGTTCAAGGTATGAGGTTCAGCTACCTGCCACTGAGCACCTACACTGTTTCATGAAATAGGCTTCATGATCTCTTTGTGACCTGCCTTTGAAGCAGGTGTTTCTATTATGATTTTCAGCAGAAGCCTAGGGTATTTCTAACACATCAGGCTTCTGGGGAAAGGGACAAAGTTTGCCAGTAAGCTTCACAAACTACCTGTTATTTAAGTTTTGCTATCTCTCTTACATCTACTTTTGCCCTGCATTTCTTATCTAGCTGATGCTTTGTTGAACTTTATCTCAAGAAGAGCTAGCTATAGAAGATCTGATATTGACCAGAGGACTCAGGAATGGAAAGCATAGAGTCCACTTTTCTTTCAACAAAAATAAAGTAAAACTCATTGAGGGGATTGTGAGTATTTCAGTAATCTGAGGAGGACAGTGTTTCCATAGTTACTCTGAAAATAAGGCATTTCTAGGATTATGATTCCTCAATCTGTGGTAATGTAATTGTAATTGGTAGTAAGGCTGAAACTCAAGATTTTTTAGACTAGGTAATCAAAACAGCTACCCCTGATTTGTACTATTATTAGGACTTTTGGGGAAAAGTCAGATAATGAAATGACCCTCAAATATACCTCTCATATCTCCTAGTGTTTCTGTATTTTCTTTCATGATCCTTCCTGACCCTTTGTAACTGCCAAGGAGTTATGAGTTGTAGTCCCACATTTGTAACATAACATGCATTTACTAGGTACCTACTGTGGACAAAGCCTTTTGCTAGCTCTAGGAAGCAAAAATATTTTTTCTTATGATGCTGAGGATCAAACTCAAGGCCTTGTGTATGTTAGGCAAGTGTTCTGCCACTGGACATGGAGATGCAAAATTATTAGAGTCACCTACAGAGCTGTTTTGGATTATAAAACATGCTGATATATATATATATATATATATAAAATATATATATAAACTCTGTGATATATAAGATATATAGCTATGGATTTTTTAATCCTAGAAATGTTTGTCTTGGGTTACAACAAAAGACATACAAAACTGACTTGTAGTCTGGCACAGTTTTACAGAATCAAGTTATACTGGTGTATTTGTTTTTATGAAGAGAATGATGATTATTTTAACTCGCATAGGTAGTATCCACTCAGTATTTCTGCTGTCTATTGATAGAACAAGTTGAGAGTTTAGAAAAAATTACAGATATTTTAAATAAGCACAAAGTGTATTTTCGATCTCTTTGTTTATTATATATATTCTTTTGTTTTCATTTTTATTAGTTTTACTTTATGTATTTTTAAGTGTAAGGGATCTTTGGAAGAATACCTCTTCATTCACTAGACAGCTACCATGTGCCCACCATGTGCCAGGCACTCTTCTAAGTTACTGGTACAGCCATGAGAAAGATGTGCCTCACCTTATGGAATTCACATTTCAGTAGGCATCTGTTACCTTCCATTGTGCTGTTAGAAAGGAAATTAAGCAGAGTGCCATGATTCTGATTGAAGAGGAATTTTTTTTTTACATAGGAAAGGGCTCCCTGAGACCAGAGCATTTGAGATGAGATCTAAAGTATTGGAAGAAGCTGTCTCAGAATTATGGTCAGCAATAAAAGCAGACACAAAGGGCCTGAGGCGAGAATAAGCTTAGCCTATTTGAAGAGATGAAAAAGAAAAGAAAAAGATATGGCTGGAGTGTAGTAAGCAAGAAAGAGGTGATATGGGATGCAGTTAGAGAGGTGGTCAGAGCAGCAGGCCTTCCTCCTTCCCTGTTCTTTGTTAATCTTTCCTACAATAGTGTGCTTTCACTTGACATATTAAACACACTATGCTGCTGAGAGTAGTAAACCTCTAGTTTTACACTGACTTTATGGGAGAATAATGAGGACTTATTTTATCTTGGATTTAATTGTTAAAGGTTTTATATAGAAGAATGAGTTTCATTACCGAGTGGTGGAAGTGAAGACTCTTTCTTATAAGAAGGTATCAAAATAATAGAGGGAAGAAGAGACAAGACTGACAGTAGGATTGGAATCTAGTAGTAGTGGTCCAGTTATGCAAGGTCTCCCAAAAGGTACAGGGATTACCTGCCCTTTTTGGCTGCAGTTTTCCAGGGCTTCTGACAGGATTAGGAGAGGAATTCTCTCCACAGAGGGGAAGAAGGTGGATATTTTCACAGCACAGAATTAGCAGAAGTTAGGAGGTAGCAGCTATTTGTTCCATAATAATTAGACCTTCTTAAGGTCAGAACTTTCTGCTAAATTCTTGCCTTAGGTGTTTATATTCTTTTGGGGGAAATAAGGTACACAGGTAACCACTACACAGGTCAGTGTTAGACGATTTCAAATGGTGGTACAGACTGAAATTTAAAAAGAGCAAGTTCAGGGACAATTCCGGTGGCAGGAGGACTCATTTAAGCTAGATGGTGGTGAAAGTGGGGAAGAAAAGTTAATGGAAAGAGCAAAATAAAAGAGAGTATGTTTGAGAATCCAAAGGCTCCATGTGCAGGCCAGCTTAACAGAATGGAGATAGGAGGTAAAGGTTGGGCCAGGTGTTGGGAGGTGTCAGAAAATGATAGAAGGTCTTGTGTAAAAGAGCTATTTTATTAACTAAGGAAATATTTTAAATGCTTTGAGGAAATGATTGATGTAAAACCAGTAGCATCAAGGAGCTTACTCACAGAGACGCCAAAAGTGAGGGCAGATCCTGTCCCAGTCCTACAAGAAGTTGTGCAAAATGTTTGTGGATGGGTTATTTAGTAAGAACCAGCCTCATAATGCAATGTTAGCATGTCTGACTCCAGATTATTTAGTAACGTAAACATCTGCAAGTAGATTCTCTTAATGTGTTTTAAGATGTTTAGTTGAAATGAGTATGTTTGTGAGTGTTGACAAGCCTTTAAATCTGAACTTTTTCATTTTACATTCTCATGGATCAAAGTCCCAGGGTGCTGGACCCCATATTTCACAGGCTTCCATCTACAGGGAATGCCACCTTGTGTGTTGGACTGTTAGGCAGCCACCCAGTCTCTGATTTTTGCCAGGTGGGATGGAACTCCCAGCCAACCCGAGCTGTAATCTTTGAAGACTGTGCTGTCCCTGTGGCCAACAGAATTGGAAGTGAGGGACAGGGATTCCTCATTGCTATGAAAGGACTGAACGGAGGGCGGATCAATGTTGGTGAGGACAGGAAGGAGTTGGGCAGGGAAGGAGTGGTCTGGAGCCAGCAACACTTTCTTCAGCCTCAGTTGAATGTTAGCATTCTTCTCCTCTAGCTTCCTGCTCCCTGGGGGCTGCTCATGCTTCAGTCATCCTCACCCGAAACCACCTCAATGTCCGGAAGCAGTTTGGAGCACCTTTAGCCAGGAGCCAGGTACAGTCCCAGGTGTCTCTGCATTTGCTTTCCACTCCTTAGACCTGCTCAAGGGTCTATATTGTCTAGGAGAAGCCACAATATCCCTCGTGGAGCCTGCCACCATCTTAGCCAGAGCTTGTGCTTTATTTCTACCAATCATCTTTTTCAGGAGGCAATACTGTCAAAGTACAGGGCAAGCAATATGGACTTAGGAAGCAGTGAGTTTTCCCTGAAGAGGGGGCAAGAGTCTTTGAACCATTGGCTCGCTTGGGGCCCAGATCAGGTGCCTGTCTAAGCTCCCCTGTCTTGTCTGGTTCTTGTCTCCCCTGTTGCTGTAGTACTTGCAATTCCAATTGGCAGATATGGCAACACGACTGGTGGCTTCAAGGCTGATTATCCGTACAGCAGCGGTGGCTCTACAAGAAGAGCGGGAAGATGCAGTGGCGCTGTGCTCCATGGCCAAGCTCTTTGCTACAGAGGAATGTTTTGCTGTAAGTGATAAGCACTGTGGCCCACTTGGGATGATCAGGAAGCAGCCCCTGGGCCAGAAATGTTGAGAGACATAAGTCAGGTGTGAAATGTGGAACCCAGCTGGGTCACTGCAAGAGTTGCCATGGGGCTTATGGATATGAATTAATTTAGAAGGGCAGGGTGGGGGTGGCTCAGTGATTGAGCACCTGTGTAGCATGTGTAAGGCCCTGGGTTCTAGCTCCTAGCACCAAAAAAATTGGGGGGAAAATATCATTTAACCAGTTAATTAACTTGTGAGAGGCCTATATGGGATCTCTAGCTAGGTTTTTAGCCACACTTTATTATGGCACTGACATCTGGTTGTATTCCTTTGGGAGGTTCAGAGCAACCAATGCTTATAGCCCAAATTTAGCACTGTTATGTTTACATGGTCAGGGGCTAAACCATTTTCACACAGAGGTGGCATTAAAACTAGGTAGCACCTGAGTTTCATATAATTCACCCAGGGTGGTTGTGGCAATTTCTTACCAATAGGTGATAAATGAGAAAGACAAAGGTCTGAGTTTTCTCTTTAGTGGAAGCTGATAAATTCACTAGGTGAATTTTTCTTATTGCCTCTGACCATGTAGAATACAGAGCCCCTCTTTGGGGTCAGGTGGTTATCTGTGGGTTGTTCTTCTTTCTTCAGTTTCCAGCAACATGCAAGATCGGGACAAGGGTGGGGAGGAAAACCACTTTTACGCCTGTGGGACTGCATAACTCTGAAATCATAAAACTTCTTAGCTCCAACTGTGATTGAATGTGAGTTAATGGATAAAGATGCTTGTTAGTTTTGGGACACTAGATAAAATATGTAACAGACCTAAAGTCCCAAAGTAAACTACTCAACTCCTTGTTTGCCCGGAACTGATGTTCCAGACACCACAATCTATAGAACAAGCTGCAGATGTCTGCTGACCGTCAGTACGTGACAGTCGACCACTAACGTTTGTCCCTTTTCTTTAATTCTATATGTTAACCTCCCCCTCAACCCCCAAAAGAATAGCCTCGGACTCTGAGCCAGTTGCCTCTCTAAGCTACTTTGCTTTGGGAGTGCCGTCTGGCCAGATTAATAAAGGTCTGTTTTACTTTCCAACTTGTCCGATGTGTTCCTTCCCGGGTGTTCTTCACTGCAGTCAGCTCCTCGGAGCATTTGGCAAGGCCCTCGGTCTTACACTCCACAGTCTTCCCACAATCAGAGAGATGTTTTTTCTCCTCACAGATCTGTAACCAAGCTGTACAAATGCATGGAGGCTATGGCTACCTGAAAGATTATGCTGTTCAGCAGTTCATGCGGGACTCCAGGGTCCACCAAATTCTAGAAGGTAAAATTTGCCAGAGGTTATTCTCTTCCTTTTGGGACAGTTCCAGGATCGCTGCTTTTCTCATCTGTCTCTATGCTGGCTGGTCCTCTGGGTCCAGTCAGGCCCTGTCTATCTTTAGGCTTCCTCCTTCCTTCCTTTCTTTACCCCTGCTCAGGAAGTGCCCTATTTTAGCATTACAAAGAGCACTAGCCTGGGAGCAAGCAGATTCTGCTTTGTTTCCATGGGTAAGGCATCATATTACTCCACTTCTGCTCTTTCTCTTTGTGGATTTGAGAGAAAATCTAAACTGAGATAGTAAAGAGAAATCCTGTTGAAAACTATAGCAGTGGCTGTTCTTTACTGTTACCAAGGGCTTAGAACTCAAGGATCTAAGAAATTCTTTATAGTAACTTCTCAGACAAATATGAGCCAGTATGAGTACCAGCAGCTCTATAGATTAATTACAAGCTTCATAGTCTAGATGATCTCTGTCAATATTACTAGCAGATTTTTCGATATAATAAAATGTCAGTATATGAGTATTTCCTTGTAAAATGCATAAGTCTTTGGAGTCAGGCTCAGAATATGGCCATCTCCACTCTTCAGGCAGTCTTATTGGAAGCTGGTGTTGGTAGCTGGGGCTGTTACACTTTAGGACAAGCAGATAGGGAAGAGGCTTCTTTAAGTGACTTTTCAGTGAAGCAATGTGGGGCTACTTTAATGGGGACATAGGAGCCTTTGAGCATTGACCTCCCTGCCTCTTTCAAAGCATTCTTCTCAAACCTGAGCACACAGCAGAAGCCCCTAGAGGACTTGTGAAAACAGATTATTGGGCCCCACCTTCAGAGATTTTGTTCCAGTGTACCTAAGGGAACTGAAACTTGCATTTCTAACAAGTTTTTAAGTGAGCCTGCTGCTGCTTGTTTGGAGTAACCACATACTGAGCCCCACTCCTTTAGTGTTCTGTCTGTATCATGGGGTTCTAAAGCTTAGTCTGCTGCTTTCTACTGTCAGCTTTATCTCTAATATATATTTATTGAGCTTAATTCTGAGTGTTCATATTAACTTTACCAGGGTTTTGTGACTATGGGAAACTGTTTTCATTGTACCACTATCTTTTAATTTGGCTATATTAAGTGGGAAACATTTATCTTGAGTCATGGTATCATCTGCTAGTAGAAGGATTGGGGCACTGGTCACTTTGTTTCATTGTGAACTCTTAGCTAAATCTGGAATTTTAAATTCTGCAAAGGTTTTATGGTTTTCTTTGCATTATAGGCCACTGCTAAAAGTGAAGCAAACAGTTCATCCCTTGATACTTTCCTTTCACGGAAAATATTTTCTTTTAAAGTTCAGTTTTCTGATTACCAAAGAAACTTATAAAATATGTGAAAAGTAAAAAATAAAAAATTACTCATGTTTCTACATCCAGAATTATTATTTTGATTACTTTGGTATATCTTCTTATTTCTTAAATTTGTGGGCTGGAAAATGAACCCAAGGCCTTGTACATCCATGCCAAGCAAATACTGTATCACTGACTACACTCCCAGCTCTGTACTTTATTACTTTTTTCTGTTTTTGTAGGCCTATAGTTTTTTTAGGTTAGTGTTATACTACTTTTAGTCTGCCTTTTTTAAATACAAGCATTTTTATCAGAAGACATTTTAAAAAAATAAATAGTATTTCTTATTCTGTCATTTCTTTCTATTTTAGAGGAAAGTTTGTGATAGTCCCATTCCCCCCAGAAACAAAAGCATCAATTCTAGTTTAAATCCATGACTTCTCTGCTGCTATTAAATCCTTCTTTTGCCCTCTTGCAGGTACCAATGAAGTGATGAGGATGCTGATCTCTCGACAACTGCTTCAGGAGTAGCACCCATGCTTAATATGTGGGCTCTTGGGTTCCAGATGGATCTTGGATTGGAGTGAAGGGCTGAGCTCTTCCAAGATAGGCGGCAGAGCTGTACTGTGTTTGTGCCAATATCAGTTCTCAGATTGTAACAAAGTTCTCAGTGTAACTGGAAGAGGTGTCCTGATTAGAAATGTCACAAGACATACCACCTTATTTTCCTAATGCTGGAAAAACAGCCAGTGACTATTCAGAACCAAAGTCTTGTCTTGGACCTTCATTGTCTTGATTTGTCTATTCACTGGATTCCTCTGGGGGCTTGGGTACTTCCACTGAGACTTTTCCCAGTTATAGAGCAAAGGCAAGGGGAAAGAGAATACCCACCTGTCTTGCTGTTCTCTGTACACAGCATCAGTATCTCTGGATTTCACACCTCTGGATATAGATCATAATAAAATGAGTATTTGGGAAAAGTCCTAAGCTGTGATTTAGGGTATAACTCTGCTTCTGGACTACACAAATATCAAGGGCTAAGATTATTTGGAAATTTTTGAATATTTGATGCTACCTTTTCTTTTTGAGAAGCTGATGGTCTAAGAATGGTAATCAAGGTTTCTGTAACCCTTCTTGAGAAGTACTTAAAGTATATTTTCTGAACTTGTTTCCTTTTTTATAGTTGCTTCTCTTTTTAAATATTTTTGATCACTACATTAATAAATGAAATCTACCCCTTTCTGTACTGTCTACATGTCTACTAAGGTTGGCTTTTTTTTTTTTTCTTTTGGTTTTTTGAGACAGTGTCTCACCCTGTAGTTCAGGCTGTTCTTGAACTCACTGTGTAGCCCAGGCTGGCCTCAAACTCAGGGCAATCCTCCATCCTCCTGCCTCAGCCTCCCAAGTGCTGGGATTACAGGTGTGTGCCACCATTCTTGGCCTAAAGTTGGCTTTTAAACTAAGCCTTTACAACTGTTTTTAAGATTTTTACTATATTTGATTAAACATTTAACTGGATTTTGGAATAACAATTAAAAATCTCTCCTAGGCAAATTTTTGTCTTTTAAAAAGTGTGCTCCTTAAGTTATTAATAGTTTTGCAAGCTAAGCATTGTTTATGATATATGAAAACAGATTTAAAGTAATATTCAAAAACAAGCACTTTTAGAAAACAGAATATTCCACTAGGCATGGTGGTACATGCTTGTAATCCTAGCTACTTAGGAGGCTATACAAGTTTTAGTCTGGGCAATTCAGTGAGACCCTGTCTCAAAATAAAAAGATCTGGGAGTGTAGTTCAGTGCTCCTAGGGTTCAATCCCCAGTACACCAAAGAGACAGAAAGACAGGGAGGGAGGGAGAGAAAATATCTATAAACAAATAGCTATCAAAAAAATACCAAAACTTTCTGAATGCATATTTTGGGTATGGAACTGTGTTGAACACTGCAGGGTGTGTACTGAAGTATACTACAAAGTTTAAAATAGGATCCTGTCAACCAAGGCTGCCTTTAATAGAGGAGCAAGGCATGAGTACATGGTAAGGAGACAGTAGCTTAAGATTGAGGGAAGTAAAAGGGATGAGGTTCATAGAGAAGTTAGGAATTCAAATTAAGCTTTCATGAAAATGTATACTATTTAAGAACCAAGAAATTCAGTTTCGGACAGCAAGGAGCCAGGGTCAGAAAATGTATAAGATTTATGTGGGAGCTAGTGATACTTTTGCTTATTGTAGTTTGGCATAGAAAAAAATTATAAATGGAATCTGGATGGAAATGATGAGAGCCAAGGATGAGGTTTTATTTGGTAAGCAGTGGACAGCCATGGAAAGTTTTTCCTGAGGAAGATGTGAGACTGATCTATTCATAAGAACAGTGTGGAGTGCATATGTGGGATGAGTATGAATGGGAAAGAAGATAAGACATACTCAGTCCAATAGGGTCTTGAAATAGTCAAGGTATGAAGCAATTTGAGCCCCTGCTTGGAAAGAGCCCAATGTCTGATTATCAAGCAGTACTTAGAATGGCCACTGTGAACTTGAAGACCTCTCACATGCTTTCTGGCACTCCAGTTCTGAAAAGCTCCTATTCTGACTCAAAGCAAAAACAGTGCAATGTTGACATCTTACTTTGTGATCCCCTTGTAAGACCAAAGAAATGACAATTATTAAACATTATTTCTCAGTTGAAGACATAGCTCAATGGTAGAGCATTTGCCTGGCATGTGAGAATCCCTCGGTGTGATATTCAGCACTGTGGGGGAAGGGACATTTCTCACTATCACCCTCAAATATATTCAGAGATTTCAGTTTCTCAACATCCTGGCAAGAGATTTCACACCTATAGCAAGTAAACATAGTGAACTTAAGATAATTTCTATCATTGTTCATTTGACTATATAATGAATAAAAGCAAAAAGCAACAAATGTAAGGAAACAAGAAAAACCTATGTGTAAGTAACATTAGGTGAAGGACATATGCTGATGACCAAATACAACTTAAATTTGACAGATCTTATGGATTAGAAAGGAAGGGAAGTAAGAAATAGATTCAATATGTGGTGGCAAGAACATAGACACACGTAGAGTGCACTGAGCAGGAGATATAATAAGATGACCTAAGCAGAAAGTCCAGGTTTTCCCTCCCCACCCCCACCCTGGTACTGGGGATTGAACCAGGGGAGGTTTCAGGAATCATCTGTTTCTCAGCATTGTTCCAGTAGATGCATGATCAGAGGCAAGACCTTTCAGAGCTAAAGGATCTGATGGGGTTATTGTACTGCCTCCCCACCTGTATAAACAATATCTAACTGTAAAAGGATCTTGTATGCAAGAAGCTGGATTTTATTCTGCAGTAACTGGGTTTCCACATGCAAAAAACTAAAATTGAACCTTTATACCATACACAAAAATCTAAATGGACAAAGCAGCTAAATTTAAGTAGATTAAAGAGTTAAATTAAGATCTGATGCTATAAAACTCCTGAAAGAAGGGAAAGATTTCATAACATTGGTCCTTGCAATGATTTCATAGGTATGACCTCAAAAGCACAGGTAGCAAAAGCAAAGACAAATGGGCCTACATCAAACTTATTAGCTTCTGTACAGCAAAGAAGACAGTGAGAAGTCAATCTACAAACTGGGAGAAGACATTTACATAACTCCTAAGGGAGCGATTTCTAAAATATATAAAGAACTCATTTGCAAGAAAATATGAGCCAAGAGAAGTGATAGGGCCTACCCGAAGGGATACAGGTAGGGAGGAAGTGCAAGCACCCATCAAGGGAGAGGGGGTAGAAGAGGGTGGTGCTAAGGAAGGAACTAAGGAAGAGTGATTCATACTGGGAGTAAAGGAGAAATTGGGGAAATGAGAAAATGACACAGTCCAAAGCCACCATAGGGACAACGGACGAACAAACAACAGGGCCCTTAGCCAGTTAGTCATTAAAGGTATTATTTTTGTTTCCTTCTAAGGCAGGCAGGGACTTATAAGCAGTTTTTGCTAAAAACAAAACAAAACAAACAAACTGATTCTTCACTTGGGCCTACAGATGTCTAGTAGGTAACTAAAAGCAGAACAAAGCTTGACCTTCATTTTGTATCTATCTCCTTTATTATCTTAAAACATGAGGTCACATTCTTGTTCAGCTCTGCATATAGGCATATTAAATCAGTTAGACTGTCTGTCTAAACACTGAGAAAACAAGGTTGATTAGCCCTTGAATTTACATAACCTATCTTATGTCCCTTCAAGACTGAGGACACCAAGAGATTTACAGCGACATTCACCTGCCACTGAGAACCCAGAGAGAAGTTTCTAATTATTGCTCTAAACCTAAGGTCGTCTTGGATTCCAGGTAGAGCCTTCACAAGACTGAGACTACCTAAGCAGAGACAATCATCTCATAGAGACAAAATTTCCCCCTAGAAACAAGGATTCAGTCTTGCAAAATCAGAACTGAGATAAGGGCCAACCTGACTGTAGCCCACCTCAGCTAATCCATAAAGGCTAGTTTCATTCTCTTGTGATTGGGCCAGTCTGACCCTCTTCATCATAACTGAATAGGGTGAAATCCTCTATTTTCTGTTTCTTTCTCTGCCTCACAAATTTGCCTGTGTCTTACACTAATGCATTCTGAAATTCTTTTTCTAGGATGACAAATTAAACACCTACTCCATAGGGCAAGTTGAAGTCTCCATCTCCTCTTTGTGGAGCCTTCTTTGAACCTAATCTGGTGATAGAAACAGTAGGAGAAGACGGGGTTTGGAGATACTATCCTAAATTTTCCACAGACCAAGAGAATGTTCATCTTAGATGGACATCTATGTGAACTGCAGAGTGGGAAGGTTGGCACATGGGTTTGACACTTAGGGAAGAGTAAGGCTCAACATGTCATGGCTTCTTCCACCCCACACTGAGTCATACTACCATGCCTTTACTTTGTGCTGAATGTTATTATTGCTATAAGAACTTCCACTCATTTGTCCTTGCTCCTGAATATAGTTGTGATTTTTTTTTTTTATTTGCTTGTTTAGTTTTTTGGATTCCATTTGTTTCCTATGTTGGGATTCCATCATGTTCCTCAGCTCCTTTCTAGATTTATTAATCATGTCTTGCACTATGGGCACAATCTCTGCTGTTATCTGAGA